ATAATTTCTTCAACTTGTTTTTTTTTGCAACATAATGGCTATATTTAAAACATGCTGTGGCAACAATGTCAACGATTTATCTTTGTTTTTGTTTACCTTTGTTAAAATGTTATCTCTTAGCTTTTGTGAAGAAAGGAGTTTCTGAGCGCTGAGTAGTACAGATATTTTTAGTTATTGCCCTGTCACTTACTAGATTTAACCATAACAAAATGCCTCGAGTTCAAAGACGTCCAAATTATCACCATGTTAGCGACTTTGACAGGTGTAGAATTATTACCTATCTGGATGATGGACAATAATGCATGTGTATAGTATGTGGATAGAAAAAGGTTGAGGAACACGAAGGAGGCCAACTGGTCGACCGAGGCGTACCACAGAGCGTCAAGATAAGCGCTTCAGACAACTAGCTATGCGAAACCGTTTTGCTAATACGCTTCATATCGCTAACCAATGGTTTGGAGAATAAGGCATTCGAGCCTTTGGACTTTTTTCATACCGTCCACGGTTAATGCTTCCTCTGACTGCAGACCACCGTCGTCAGCGTTTGAACTGGAGCAGAGAACGGCAACACTGGGAGGCAGAATGGCATGTTATCTTCAATGACGAATCGCGATTCTGTCTAGGTACACACAATGGTCGCAAAAGGGTAAGACGCCGCTGCGGAGAACGGCGTGATATTGGATTTGCTGTTGAGAGGCGTGTACACAGGACTGTGGAAGTAATGGCTTGGCAGGCATTTGCCTATGGTAACCGATCACCCCTCCTTTTTATTCAAGGCAATATGACTGCTGCGCGTTATGTTGATGTCCTGCAAACTACTTTACTGCCGTATCTAGAGGGCCGTCCATACGACCTTTTTCAGCAAGACAACGCACGTCCCCATATTGCGGACTTTCTCCAAGAAGCAGGCGTTAATGTTTAGCGGTGGCCACCCTGCTCACCTGATTTAAATCCCATCGAACATGCGTGGGATATGATGGGGAGGAGACTATCCACTTTGCACCATCAGCCACAAACTCTGTCACAGCTAATCCACGAAGTTCGAGTGGATTTTAATAAGGTGCCACAACCAGACATCGATCATCTCATTTTGTCGATGCCTAGATTTACATACAGGAGTGAATTCAGCTGCGAGGTCACCCACCACATAATATTATTTTTTTTAATTACTTGTCAATAAAATTTCGTGAGAAGGTTGCCGTTTCATTCTTGATGTAACACTACCGCAGTGCCAAAAAATCAAGTTGAAGAAATTGGATGTAACACTTATAATATCACTGAGTGTATCTTTTGTTACTACCCTACATTCAATCATTATTAGTTGAATTGAAGTATTCACATTTAAAATAATTATTTCCAATAAGTAAGCTCGCTAAAATTCAGTTCTGTGAATCTATGGATTTAATTTCCAGAATCACAATTTACGAACGGCGTGGGGCTTCAGACATAATCAAAAACATAGTAGCCGCACTAATATATTTTTGATCACGAGGTATATTAAACTGTTAACAATATATCTGAATATAATTCGATTTGGCAACAACACATGGTATAAGCCAGAAGACAGACTTTTTGGAAATTGAGGTTTTCCCTCAGAGGATGGCACGACTGAGTATTGAGTATTACAAAGCCTACCTTATCCAATGATACGTACTTAGGATGCAAAGCCTGACTTCTGATCTTGTTACTGTAGGATTTGACCTGAAAATACTTGAAATAGAAGATTTTGCTTATACAGGGTGTTCCATAATTATTGCGACAAAATGATAGGGGTTGTAGAGAGCATAAAAATATGCAATTTTGCCTTATAAACCCCTGTTCGTAAATATGCCGTTTGAGCACTACCGCTAATTTTACCTTACGAGAAACAAAAAATTCAACAGCTGCAAAATGTTCGTCTAGCACATTTCATGGTCTCGCCGATTTGTAAAAAAAAGCCTGCTGTGTTTACATTTTTGTTATCGTAAATTCTCCACACCGATTCATTTAATTTATCTGAGTGGTGCGTCAAACTAGAGGCCAATCCGCGTACAAGCGTGCGTGCTCTTGCACATGAAATGGGAGCGTCTCAAACTACTGCTTGGCGGGTTCTCCATGACCAGCAACTACACCCATACCACCTTTTAAAAGTCCAAGCCATGGGTCCAGAAAACTATCTGCCGCGTCGACGTTTTTGTCGTTGGTGGCTGCAGCAGGAGTTGAGGCAACCAAACTTTGGTCGCTACGTTTTGTTCACTGACGAGTCCTGTTTCACAAAGGAAGGTTATTTTAATAGCCGTAACAGTCACATTTGGGATGAAGAAAACCCTCATGCCATAGCCATCCATAGAGACCAACATAGTTTTCAATTAACATCTGGTGCGGCATTGTGGACGAGCATATCATCGGGCCATATTTGCTTCCACCACGTTTGGATGGGCATGCTTATGGTCGATTCTTACAGCATGTGCTACCGGAACTATTAGAAAATGTGCCACTGAACATAAGAGCCAACACGTGGTTTCAACACGATGGCGCTCCAGCCCACTTTTCTTTACAAGTGCGGCAGTATTTGGACGACAAATAGGTGGATCGGCCGAGGTGGCCCTGTGCCTTGGCCTGCGCGGTCACCCGACCTGACCCCACTGGATTATTTTCTCTGGGGCCATCTGAAAGCTTTAGTGTACGAAACTACTGTTCCCAACCAACAAGAGCTACTGGGAAGAGTGATGGCCGCGTCCGAACATGTTCAGGACAAACCGGGGGTATGCCACAGAGTTCGCCGATCATTGAACAATCGTGCACAGCTGTGTATTGAGCAAGGTGGAGGACACTTTGAGCAATTACTGTAGGTAAGCTGTTTCAAGAAACTGATCTTTTTTTTTTGCTGCATCCCAAACGGCATATTTCCGAACAGGGGTTTATAAGGCAAAATTGTTCATTTTGATGCCCTCTACAACCCCTATCATTTTGTCGCAATAATTATGGAACACCCTGTATATCTTATTTTAGTTAGGAGTTCGGCAGAAAACATTTGACTGTTCATTGAAAAATTCAATATGCAGACTTTTTGTGGATTTCTTAGATGAGCTCATGACAACATCGTCAGTTCTCTACTGCCTTCCGGTTTGGAATCGAACGTAGCGTAGCATGGCTGACGTTGCCAGATGGTCGATAGTTTCAGTAGAGGCAGGGAAGACGGGTTTGATTATTGACTAATTGTATGACTCACTTGTTCCTTTTATTTTTTGCCATACAAGTTCGTAATTAACATTATTTGTTATAATAATAATATTCCTTTATGAACTGATTCCACCGTTGCGTGGGAAGTGCATAGTCAAGTCACTTGTCGCCGTTATCTTAGCTTTAAAATGGCGATTTTACAGACATAACACTTCCGTATTCAGGCAACGAATTAGTGAACAAATTTTGAGTCTTTGTTATTCAAGTATCTGACTGGTTGAATATGAACATCCTAAATGATGAATGTCGCAGAATACGAAAAAACATATTCCGTTCAAAGAATAAAGACATCCAAGCATGCCCAAGGTTATTGTACGTCATTTCTTAAGCTAATTTAACACCGGATGCAGACTAGTCTGCATTTTTCCTCCCGTGCACGCTCATGTAACAGTAATGATGAATAAGATCGATATGAACACATAATATAGCGCATCGGCTAAATAGAGATTTCCTATGCAGACCGGTTTTGATCTAATTAAATATTTTTCTTGTTTATATGTATGTTTATATCTCTCCTTACGGCATATCCAACTTGATTTACGGGGTGCTCGATGTCGCAGATAGCCATCTCCATATCCGGCACGTTTTTTGTTTGGCATGTTTTTAGAGGATATGAGTTAGTTCATTAGTAGGCCAATCAACAGAGCTTTTTACTTCCTACGCATGTCGGGCAACTCAACGAGTGTACGTGTGTCTGCTTCGAATGCTAAGGGATAACTGAATGATGCTGCGTATATTCGTATATGCAACACCATGCTGGGTTGTCACGTTGCTGGGTGGTCGGTATTGTCGGTAAGAGAGTAGGCTAGATCTCAATGTTGTCAAATAAGTGGGGTCCATGGACTAATTGTTTGAGTCTGTTAGGCTGACAATTCATCCAATTCATTTGTTATACATGTTCGTAGCAAACACTTTTCTAAGAGGGACTAACTTGTGCTATAATTATTTATGAACTGATGACAGCGTTAAGCAACGCAATTATAGGGTCAACCTACTTAACTAAAGCGTGTCACCAAATTGACTCCAAGCTTGCATCAAATAAAAGCAATTCCCTTTTTTAAGGAATACAAAAAACCTGACTGCAGTATATGAAACAAATTAATTTTTAATATTGTGCTATCGAGGCGAATCTAATTCATACCTTATTTGAAGGTTAAGACAGTTTTCTTGAACGGAAACCTCTATTTTCGACACCAAAAATAAAACGAGCAAGAATCTTTATGTATGTCCATGACCTTGACTATGATCATCAAGGTCATTTAAAAATCAAGTGAATTTGTAACGGGAAACATATATCTATAATTCCTGAAATGAAAATTACAGACAATTTTAAGTTCAAGTATATCACTGCCGATAAACCTGCCCATGGCATTTTAGGTCAATTTAAGGTCAGATAAATTTTAAAGTAAACCCCTTACTTTTTTATATATAAAGGCAAAACAGTGACAGTAATTTATTGTTGCATTAAAATGTCGAATAAAAAATGTTCATTGCCAAAGTAGCAATTGTATTATTTTAAACATTGTATTTCTTTCTCCGAAATCAATCTCCTTCACACGAATGCAAAACGAATGACACGTGTGCAAAGCCACGGGTTTAGTTTAGTATGTTCTAAAGTATTGAAGTGCAAAATCAAGATCAACTTAAAATTTGAGATATTTTTAGGGTCGAAATTTACTTATAGAAACTGATTTTTGGCACCGGGTTACCGGAGGCTGATACATTTTGACAAAAATTTGCCTATCGCAGAGGTACTTATTAGAGAATTTTTCTTCCAGCTGCTCTCGCCATAATAACGAGTGGCATGCACTATGGCTGGCCATCTCCTTCCATACCAAAGCTAACCATGGAAGACCTGATTACGGATGATGAAGGATCATGGATGGCTGTGATGCCGCTGTTGGGTGCAATCATGGGCTCGATGATGGTGGGAGCCACAGTTGACATCCTCGGGAGGAAGCGAACTATTCTCATATCGTCTCTGCCTTACTTCGCCACTTGGATCATGGTAAGAAAAAAAAACGTATGATGACCGAAAGTCATTGACATAAAGATAGTTTATTCAGTCTGTCAGCATCACGTCTGAACAACAATATGGAGAGACGAAATACTTACTTACTGAAACCTAAGGAAGGTTATAGGCATGACTTTCTCCGCGAAAATGTATAGGTAGTTCAAACAGTATGGTAAGATCACTATATCTCGAAAAATACGCTTCCTAGAGAATTTTTTTATACCGAAGTATCCGCACAGGCAGAAGCCTAAATACCAGCAGACCGCGGCTGCTATGAGGATCCCAAAGAAATTTTGTTAATCCGATTTTTGAACTGCCTAAGGTTAATAGAACTGGGAAAACCCTCCTCATAAAGATTATTCCACAATCTCGATACCCAAGGAACAAAGGAGCGGTCGTATCGGTCAGTTCTGGATGTATGAAGTTCGATACGGTTAGGATGGGAGGCGAAGTCAGGCGGGTCTGCCTGGCAGGCACATCGTGCGGTAGAAGAGAGCTAGATCGCCATCGGTGCGAAAGGGTCCCGAGACTGTCTGTTAGAGAAGCCCTCCTCTGGACAGCAACGAGAATAAATAATGTAGTCGGGGCGGCAGCACCCCAAACGTGTGAGCAATACTTGAGGCTAGGTCTTATCTGGGTCTTGTATAGAGTGAGGAGGTCATGCAGAGAAAATTACTTCTCAGTCCTAAAGAAACCGGTGATCTGGACTCCGACCAGCCGAAATAATTGGCTCTTTGGCAGAACTCAGCCATCCATCGAAACCGGCTAAGCGGTAGGTCGCTTTTGGTACGTCAAGGTACGTCACTGTGTTTTGGAAGATTGGAAGCATCACATTGAACAAAATTGTTGCGTCTCCAAACAGTGATAACCTCCAGGTCGCTAATCAAAGATGAAGTCGCAACTAATACTCTTTTTTCCAACTCACCGGCAGAGATCGGCCTGTCGCTCCGAATTGCTATGTAAGAGGAACAGTGGCGGAGCCTAGACCGATCCCTGGGGAACACCCGCGTTGACGTTGTGGGATGAAGAGGAGAACCCATCAGTTATGACAAACATCTTGCGGCCAAAGAGAAAGTCAGCCACTCGTCTGCAAATGTTCTCTGGAGGCCATAGGGTGGAAGTTTGCATAAGAGGACAGCAGAACGTTTTTGTGATATCAACGGCATGAGCCTTTCCATAAGACTGGATGAGTTTACTCCTCAATCGCGTGACGTAAGCTAGGAGGTCCCCTGTGGATCACTGCAGCCGTAAACCTTACTGCCTGGCGCGGATCAAGCCGTGGCGTTCGAGGTAGACCAGAAGCTCCCGATCTATGCACCTCTCCATCACCTTACATACGACAGAAAGCAGAGCTATAAGCCTGAAGTTGTAAGCGACGGACTTAGATCCTTTTTTTGGGATGGGTTGGATATGAACAAATTTTCAATTTCCTGGGATTCCTAAGATATCTGGAAGAGACTCGAAAGTACTGGAGCAGGCTCCACTGCACACCTCTTCCAATCTACTTGGCCAGCATCCAGGAAGGCCGTCTGTCATTGCGCTGCGATATTATCCTGTGCCTAACTTTTATGTCGTGTTAGTCTTCAGCATTACGAACCGCTTCGTTATATTTATTTCTGAACTCGAGAGTTACCCAGAGGAGGCAGAACAGCAGGGACAGGATGCGTGGTTAGAGGGAGATCCAGCAGGCTACTGGCATGTGACGAAATGCGGGGAAAAAAGGTAGGGCTCGTCACCAGCTGGGTCAGCCCTTGGGTATTGGGTCTTGTTTGAGTCCAACTAAAGCTCATTATGGGCATTGAAATCATCGAGGAGAACTACCTCTGCAGCGGGTGATTGATGCTCAGGAAGTATATCTTGACAGCGAGGTATTCAAGTAGGTCATCCCAGTTATGGTCCGAGGTAGAGCGATAAAGGCGGCAACATATTGGAGTGCACCTCTGAATTTGGAAAGCTAAGACGATTAATCGGTGCAGACTTTGAGATTTTTGTCCCGCCAGGAAAAGCATGGCAGGACGACTGGATTTCAGGTAGTGATGAACAACATCAATGTTGCTGTTAATCCCGCAGATGTTCGTGATACAAATTTTATCATCGATGTTGTTTCCTCGAGTCACCCTCCACCCGGATATTCCGAGAGTGAGCTCACGTCCAGAATTCTTAATACTCGAGGGACTCATCATCATTAATTCCTTTGTTGGGTAGAACAACTGACCGCGTAGCTTAGGTCTGGTCACATGGGAATATTTAGGTATAAAGCTATCTGGTGGTACCGCCTCGGTCGACTGCTCCGTGTCTACCACTTTCTTTTTGCGTCTTAGTGAATACATACCAAAACTTCCGGAACCAGTATTCTCCACGGCCCCGCTCAGTAGGGTTTAAAATGTTAAATCAAGTTGTAACGTCTGAAAAGATTATATTAATTTGAATATAAGCCTTCAAGCTCATTTGAAGGTCAAGGCAGTGTTCTTAAATGGAAAAACCCTTATTTCTGACACCTGGAATAGGCGGTTCCATGTCTATGGCCTTTACTATGATCATCAAGGTCATTTGAAGATCACAAGAATTTTAAAATGCAAGGTGTCTCTAGAATTATCTTTACAGTGTGAGTTACACTGGGTGGGTGAACAAAAATTTATAAAACAGGATAGCCGATTTTAATAGAAAATTTTAGCCTTGAAATTCCGACCCCACAGGCTACAGCTTAAACGGCTTGACGAATTTTTCAATACAAGCTATCTTTAGATTTGTCTTGACAGTGCGAGTTACAGTGGGTATACTAAAATATTATAAAATAGATATGGCTGATTTTAAACGCAAACCTCAAGCTTGAAATTTCATGGGCTACAGCTTAAACGGCTTGGTGGATTTTGATATTTGAGATGTCTTTAGTCTCATCTTGGTAGCACAATCAAATCTTCATTTTTTTCAGTAGCTGCAGCTGGGTCAATCACTGTAATTAAACGTGGGACACTCTGTATGTTATAAATACCGAGACAATCTACTTGACAGCATTTTGTTTATTTACCTTAGGTAGCCTGTTCCAGATCCGTAGCAGTACTCTACGCGGCCAGGTTCCTAGCTGGGATTGCTGACGGATGGGTGTTCACAGCGGTACCAATGTACATCGGTGAAATTGCAGAAGCAAGGATAAGAGGTCTACTTGGTACCTTAGTACCCACTGCCTTCATCGCTGGGATTCTGGCTATCAACGTGATTGGCTCGTACCTCAGCATCACCATGGCAGCGTTTGTCTCTAGGTAAGTATCAAATAGAATCAGTAGTAGATAGAGTACTATCAGAGGCGCAAGTCTGATAGTAGACTTGGTAGGATTGGTAGGGTTTCCATCACTATCACTATAATCATTTTAATAATATTCAAATAAGACAGTACAAAGTGTCATATCTATTAAGTGCTAGAGTCGACCACTGCGAAAGTGAAAACCGCAAGATATCTGTTGCAGTTGGCATTGCCAGCCGGGTCTCCAGTCTCCACTGTGGCGTCTAGATGCCGCCTATTCAGATGCTATAGTAGATACCATTGAATAAGCTAGTAATATAGCATTCGTTCGTCCGACCACAGATTTCCAGCCATTGGTCTCAAGTAGGACAACGAACTATCACTGAGCAACTTCTATCTATTAATGGCGAGAAGACCGTATCTACTATAGTATCAGAATCGGCAGCATCTAGCGACCAGAGTATAGTGACCTGGCTGACAGTGCGAAGAGAAAAAAAGCTGAATTTTAACGTGGGATATACTAAAATTGCTCCAACAAACTTATCTAGTGGAAAAATGTATTTCATAGAGAGCAAACCAAAATCTTAGAAGTTAAGTTTAGGTCATCAATCTTTTCCAAATCATGATAGCAAAAAGCCCTTGTAGATCTATATTTTTCGTTTGTTGCAGAATATGTAATTGTACTGAAGAGCAAAATTATCTTCTTCCTAGAAAAGAAAATATAGCACAAGAAAGTTCGACTTTTTTGTCATTATTTTCAAGCACATTTTCTTGACATTTTTAACCATATTATGAAGATAAGTAAATATAAAACTCAACAATAACATCATGAGAGGTTGAAGATATACTCCATTGAATGCATTAAACAGTTTTTCTTTAAAAGTACAAAAAAGAAAGTATTTTTGTAAAAACCATACAGCTTTTTTCATCGTTAACAGTTTCGCATGATAATGTTAGAATATGTTTGATAGTTTCTGAAAATATTGTGCCTTCTCAGGTTGTGTATATTCCATAGGTAGGAATACAAAAGTCATACAAAGCGCTGAAAAAACATGCGGATTGCAGTCAAAAACGATGCCTTCGATAATGTACCCCGAAATATAATCACCGGTTTTGAAAGCTAGTGGCTGTCAGTTATTCTCGTACAGTAAGAGAATATACCGATCCTTGAGTTGAGGCCTAAACTGCGGAATCGTTAAGCTCTTGACAAAACTATTTCAAGTGACGTCAAAACATTAGTATGTATCATACGGCTAACTTCTGTAACAAGCACAACGCTTTTTTGTATTCACCTATACGCATTTACGTATGGACCAAACACAGCTCTAACAAAATTAATTTCATAAGCGAATGTAGATATGAAAATATCATAGAAACAACTTTTGTACCTTATTCATCAAGATTCAAAATTGTCTAAACAACTTTTTTCTATTTACAATATTTACATAACCGTATCAAAAAGATCAAAAATCGAATAGTTTTTCAAAACCTTTCAGTTCCTGCAGGATCTGGATCCTTTTCTTATGCCAAAGATTATTATTTCAGTTACCTGAGTCCAAACTTTAATCCATTATAGAATTTTTGCAAAATTTTGGGAACAATTTGTGTTTTCCTGCCGGGCTAAAAGTAGCATACTGGTGTTGAAATTTCATCATAATCTGAGCAGAACTTTCCAAGTTATGATGATCAATGAATTAGCTGACGGAGGGAAATAGACAGATACACAGATCGACGAAAATAAGTGATATGGTTTTTCATAATGTAACATCCAGAAAAACACATCCTATTATCGAAATCTTTGACAGTTACAATACTTCCTCACCAGTCGCGTAAGAACTAGACTGGTTAAGATAAAAGTTTGGGTTTGTTTGGCTGTTTAAATACAGAAACTGTTTTTTAGGAAACGACCTCTATGATTGCACTATCTGTTATATTTCTGTTTTCAGCATCATACCGATCCTGACACTGCTAACATTCTGCTGGATGCCCGAATCTCCGTATTACCTGTTGATGAGGAGCAACCCAATCCAAGCTAAAAAAAGCCTTCAGACCTTCAGAGGTACCCAAGACGTGGAAGTGGAGGTAGCAAGGCTCACAGCGGCTGTGAAATCACAAATGTCAAACTCAGGAAGGTTCATAGACTTATTTGTTGTGAAGACCAATAGGAAACCATTGCTGATAATGGTGCTGCTAAGAGCAGCCCAACAATTAAGCGGTTCGGCAGCTATCACTTTTTACACGCAAAGCATTTTTATGGAATCCGGGGCTGACATATCCAAAGAAGCGGCTTCGATAACGTTTTTTGCGGTGCAAATGGTCATGTCACTGATCTGTTCTGCCTTAGTAGACAAATGCGGGAGAAGACCCCTATTAATTATATCCCTATCGGGATCCGCCATATCACTATTCGCTGAGGCAACCTACTTCTACATAGACCAGAACACAGTTATAGACACTTCCTCGTTCACCTTTGTACCTGTAGCTGCGCTAATACTCTTCGTAATCATGTTCACAATAGGTATGCAAGCTATCCCACTGGTGATGTTAGGCGAACTGTTCGCGACAAACATCAAAGCTTTCGGGTTGTGCTTCGCAGATATTTATTTCGCTGTCTTAGCTACTCTTGTGTCAAAGTTCTTCCAAATAATGAGAGACAGTGTCGGCATTTATGTACCGTTTTATACTTTTGCGGTTAGTTGTGTTATAGGCTTAGTTTTAATTTGTATATTTGTACCTGAAACTAAGGGTAAGACGTTGGAGGAAATTCAAATATACTTCTCCGGTGAAGAGAAAAGTGATGTAATGGATAACAAATGTAGTGATGAGCAAATATAATAGTGTGATGTTAGTAATAAGCTTTTTGTACGAATATTAGGTTTAAGATTGTTTAGATGTTGTATAGATACTTGTAAATACGGTCTTTTTGTAATTCGAAATAAAGTGATATTTTGAATAAATTGTTTATAATATATGTTGGAACCGTAGGTTGTTATTTCAACTATAAAAATTTATCAATAATTCTGTGTTCGATGGAGCTATATCTCCTCTTGGATTCCTACGAACTCCACGATTTAACCCTTTGTGGATAGGTATTAAACAAAACGGAGTGGAATGGACAGTTGGTTATCTTTATAAATTACCAAGTACAAACACTCTAGAATTTATAAATGAAGTTGAAACCATGCTTGCGAATCTAGTGCCAATGACAGATGAAGTAGTTTTCGTGGGTGACTTGAATATTGATCGGCTAAGTACTCAGTCTCGTGATACCATTGCTTTTAATATCCTCTTAGATGCATTAGGCTAGATCAGATAATCAAAGAACCGACAAGACTAACGCTTTCCAGTCAAACTTTAATTGATCTAATTTGCATTTCGAATGTCGCTGTGAGGCTCTTGGCTATTACAGGCAGACTATAGGGGGGTCCATCACTTTGGACCCCCAGCACCTCAAGGAGCCCATCTGAGTGGCCTGCGCTGGCTCCTTATGGTGGCCGGTATGCCTCTAATTTCATGTTTCATTCATTCATTCAAGGGAGGCGGATAGGACCCCAGAAGATGATTATATTTATATGAAATCACCGCGTGCGCATCTTGCTAGGCCGTTTGAGTCAATTCGAATGGAGCTTGCACCTTGCATCTACTTATCAGCTTACTCAAATATGTGGTCGTCTCAGATGATCGTTGATTGGTTATTATATCTACCTACTGGTTATTGAATCATTGTAAAAGTATTGGACAACAAATGAACCGCACCAAAATTGAACACTTATATGTACTTCGAAGGAAAACTCTATTATAGATCTCTAATGCTTGCTAAGTTCACCTCCGCTTCATTCAGTAATTTACATTGTCAACTGAAAATATGTCTCTTTTCCACCAAGTGTACACGATCCCATAATTAAATTTTTCTGCAACAGGGCGGGCCAAGCAAACATTACGTAAACGAAAGTCTTTTAAAAGATTGGATGCAATATAATATTGTCTAAGACCTTCACTCCGACTTCCTTCGTTTTCGTTAATTTGTGAATTTAGATTAGATAAACTTGTGATCGTATATTTAGGAAAAATAGAAGGATATAATAGTAGGTGTTGAATTGGGTTAGATCGGGTTGTAAAAAGCAAAACGTTAGATGAAGTCTGAAGCAGTTTTTCAAAAATAATCCGAAACTTTTAGGATCGTAGTGTGCTCATTTGACCAATGCGAAAAAGAAGTTTATGCTTGGAGGTTGTGAACTTCTGATGATTTTCTGGGAAACCACGATAAATATAATAAAGATCAGGTGATATATGTACGAAATGAAAAGGTATCGTAGGCATTTACGTGCATTCGGAAGCTGTTTCTAGATGGACCGCCCAAGAAGTTCTTCAATTAATTATTGAATGGGTATTTAGTTAATCATCGCCCTGTATATTACTGATGGTACAATACGTTTTGATTATTTGCGTTTCAGTAGCAGCATGGGAAAGCACTTTGCTAAGCTGAAGTAATTGAAAGGCTTAGTAAAATGAAGGCACGACAACATTTATAATAGTACAGTTCTTCTAAATAAACACTACCTACACATGTATTTTTCTGTTAAAGGAACTCTTAGTTATTACTATTAGGTATATAATAAAGGCACAAAAAATTAATCAGAACTAAATGAGTTTTTTTCATTCATTTGCGTTACTAATTTTTTTACCTATTCTTTTGTGTTTGTTTTATGAATACATTCCGCATCAGCTTAGGGCTATTGGCATCGGGGTTTTATATCTAAATTTTATATAACAGGTTTATACAATTGTGGCAACATTGTTAGCTCCAAATGAGAGGTTAGCTAAGATATCCAATTATGTGATATAATTCAATAAGAAGACCTTTATTGTGAATGATTACAAAGTTTTATATCACAAGTTGAACGTTTCCATAGGGTGAGTGTGCTTATTCCTGCTGTTCCCCCTAAGCTGCTTTGTTAGCCATCACTTCATTACTGATAAAAATCTCAAGTTGTAGGCAACCACCAGTTAACGTAATATGAATATCACCAGGGGGCAAAGTAGATTGACTATGAATTGGTGGTCATCCAAGAAGACCAGTACGTCGGAAATCATTGTAAAGAATTATCAAAGTTGCAGTTCACAAAGTAGTTTATCGGTGCCATTTATCAAGTTTCCACAGAACAATATTTTTTGGGACAAAAATATGGATTACTTAGAGTTTGCTTCAAAAGTAGCCAGTATCAGCAAATAGGTGATACATGTTCCAATAATCTGAAATAAAACGGATCACTGTTAACACAGGCTGCAAGTAGAAACGGCCTTCAGCATACGATTGACCTACCTTCAGTAATAAATGAGGTTCCAAGCTTAGCATAACGGCTTGGTAAGTAGTTGGTGTGCGCTTGAAGTAAATTTCAATTTTACGAATCTAAAAAATAATATTTGGTAGAAAAATGCAAATGGAAAAATGCTATGTCGATTGGAGCTTTTTGTCATATTTATACAATTTCTCATGTCCCACTGGAAATTGTGTTTATCTTGGACTTGCACATTTTTATGGCAATCAGTATGTTCAAACTTCAACTTGAAACATTTTGTGACTTGCCAATCGGTTTTGGAGGCATGTTAGTGGTATGCTAACGAAAAGACTCAGATGCGACGTGAACAGCCAAAAAAAGGAAGACGCTGAAATAACAATAGAAGAGCCTGAAGATTTTAAAAATTGCTATATACTCGTATGTCTGGAGTTCTGTTTGATTTCCTTGTGTAAAGTATTTCACAACACATTTTAAAGGCTGAATGCGATCTGGAATTGATCTCTTCAATTCCCGCAGTTTGCATACCTGCCCTCTTTAGGTATGTGTTACAACAACTATGTCCTGTAAGGAACTGAGCAGTGCGTATCTATTCTATTATCTGGGATCAGCTTTCTATTCCATGCATCATATCCGATTGCATCTCCTGGCACTTGACAAAAAGCGCTCCAAGTTTGTTATTATAGGGCACGCAACTCTGCTCAGCCAGCAAATCAATTGGCGGGATACCAGCTAACACCAACAGTGCATCGGTCGACATCTTCCTGTAAGCGCAGACTATATTTACTATTTTGCGCTAACGTCTAAGTATTAGCTGTCTATATTTCTTTTGCCTCAAGGCCTTGGTATAGATAGGAGCTCCGCACACCATAACCGAGTTTGCAATCTCTACCAAAATCCGGCGCCTCTCACTACTGGGGCCTTCATCAGATGGCATTAGCCGTATCAGAGATGCTACGACTTTATTTACCTTGTTAGTGGTGCGCCTTGTATCCACACACTCAGATACTTAATTGCATTTTGGCTTAGAATATCGCATTCTCAGCCTAGAGAATTCTATCATAAAGCACCCTCCAAAGCAACGGCCCTAAGATGGTGCCCTGCAGCCTTCTCATGACTACCTTCATCATCGTGAACTCTCAGTAAAGTAACTCCTTATCATGTTCAATAGTTAGATAGAGATGCCTAGCTTCTCGAGAGATTCGATGATTTTCTGCCATTGTACCGTATTGCAGGCATTCTTTAGCATCAAAAGCAGACTTGACTCCATGGCAGGGAATAATACCACTAACCTGGCTCTAATTGCAATATAGACAAACATCAGTTTGTTATCGAGCTACCAGGTATAAAACTGGAATGTTCTGATACTTTATTTTTGCACGTGGGAAGAAAAAACGCCATGCAATATTAAGATATCAGCAATTCATATCACTGTGTCTAGAAAATAGTTTGTACTATTTTAATTACATTATAAGACATAAACTAATAATTCAATCACCCTAAAATTCACTTCAATACTTACTACGTATATGTTACTGTATTTTTCCGATAAATCCAGTTTGGTGAAGGTGTCCCTTACAGAACTTCTAAATATTTCATCTGCTTCAGAGATCTTATGATAGGTGAGTATGATAGATGCCAGATGAAACAATTGAAGAGATGTCCACAGCCAGGTTGATATCGCAGATATCGTAAAACTCCTTGTGGGAAATTTTTTGTAGTCGAAAAAATGCAAAACAATGAACTTGTGCAAGTTATAAGTCACCCATACAAATGCGTAGACGCTAAGGCACAGAAAGAACCATCTATTGATAGTACCATAGAGTTTCATCATACCTTTTATCTTCAAGTGTTGCTTGCATGATTCCACAACAGTCAGTAAGTCACTCTTTTTCGTATTTTCAGTGAGGTTTTTTAAAAGTTTTAAGGTCAGCAGCAAAATGTTGATTTTATCAAGGACTGTCCAGAGTAAGAGGCATTCAAAAAAAGTGTAACTAAATAGATCCTCAAGAGCATTTCTTGAAAAATCCAAGGTAGCCAAAGAAGCAAATACTACAATTATTGAAAGAATCTGTATTATGTGGAAGTTCCTTTCAAAAACATCTGCAAATGACAAAGTAGGGTAACTTTATATTCAACAGTCTTCTTTTTCAATCATGAGCTCAACATATGTTTCAAATTCGACTCTCACCAATGGGATCTCGAAAACGGTAAGAGTGTGATGGGATTTTAACATAAAAAGTACATTAATATTGTCGTATTTTGTCCTCCAAGGATAGCGACACACCGCCGGGAGTAGATGCGGCCGGCAGGTACAAAGAAAAAGGCATGCTCTCGTAGCTGAGTATTAGGGGTATTACGTTTCTTGAAAAGCGACAGCATGTCTGTTTTTTTTGTCATTATTTAAGTTTAAACATATGAAATATCTCAAACACATTTTGCATTCGAATTAAACCCTCTAGCACACGAAATCTTTCCAGAGGGTTCACAAGTCTGGTTAGTGTCACTCAGCACGATGGTCCTTACACCTGTTTACGTTATACATTCCATTCCTCCTCTGGGCACTTGTACCCAGGATAAACTTTCTCAAAAAAGCAGGCGGGTGTCGCATCTCAGTTCAAATAGTGCACGGAAGTGGTGGTGTAGTATTTTGCTTACCTGAAAGGTGAGGGTTTTCATTGAGTATCTTTTATTGTGTTGCTGTACTGCATGTCATGTGTATTTTCTAACCATGGTACCCTTATAATCATGATAATAATTGTCATAAGTCGAAAACAGTCAGATCGGATATGTTTATTAACAGTTAAGATAAAGTTAGTCGTAACTTAGAGTCGAACATCTACAGAGGTGCGACGCCTTCAGATTCTGGAGGCTGTTATGAGACTTACAGGGCCAGGTTGCCATCGGGGGAATTACTGCTCGATTTCCTCTTTCAGGGTAAATGTCGGAGCGTTTTGGATATTGACACAACGGCCATTGGCCGACGTGGTATCCTAGCTTCCTCTCGATGCAATCGCTGGGGTCTGAAAGTAAGTCATGGCAAGATGTGTATAGGAATTGTTACTTAAAGTTATCATGCTGCTCGGTTGTCTCTGAATCAGAGGTGACGTCGGAGCTTTTGGGTATTGACACGTCATCGTGATATCCTGGTTTCTGGGCTGCTTTTCGTAACAATTAAGTACTTGGCATATCTGTCTAAGCACCAGACTAAAATAGGCTTGGCTGCAGTTCTACCGATCTTATCTCTCGCCAAGGAAGAACAACTCCCCTGTTGTGACGTCACCAAGTAAGTAGCTTCGAAATTATCCTTACATTCAAGCCTTTGTTAAGTTGTGTATGTACTACCCTCGTAATAAGAGTGGAAAGGTACAGGGTAGTACTTCAAACGCTTGTAAAGTGGGATTTTTGTTTTCACGTTTATCGTTACATTTCTATTACCATCTCTTCGTATCGTGTACAGGTTTTTTGTGACATTATGTAGGTTTTCCTATAAGATATCAACTTCGATTATGTACACTCGTTGTGTAGCTGTACGTGTTAAACGTCATGACTCTTGAGCTGTCATCGCTTGGATCTGCTGTGATGTAATATATGCTTCAGAGATGGCGGTACTGGAGGTCTAAGCTGTAAGTTTTATAGTATAGCTGGGAGGAAACGGCAGTGCACAGGTGGCTAGTGAGGGTTCGTGTGCATGTATGTTGTACAATAGCGTAGATTACAGAACAAAAAGCCTGCCGCTGTATAGTTTTAAAAAACACTTAAGAGCTCTTCTGCTCAATGGTGATTCTTAAAGGTGTTTTTCTCCAGCATTATATTTTTAAGCTAATTTTTATTTAGGTTGTAATCAGTTACATGGGTATTTTCCTCCTTTTATTTTCTTTACAGCTGTACTTTTTTACCATCTATTATTCTTATGCAGTTAATGGTTAAGTGTAAGAATAGCTGCCATAGCTAAACTTCGCCATTAAGCTGCTCACTAATCTAATTATAGATAATAATATATGCATTATCTGTAATTTGTTTTTTCTAATAAAAGACGGTTTATTATTATTATTATTATTATTATTATTATTATTATTATTATTATTAATTTCGGCTGGTCGGAGTCCAGATCACCGAGGACCTGATCTGGCACGAATACATCTCGTCAATAGCGGCAAATGCTGGAAAAAGCTAGGCTATTTGTTTAGGGCTGCGAAGAACTTTTCTCCGCGAGACCTTCTCACTCTATACAAAGCCCAGATAAGGCCTAGCCTCGAGCATTGCTCACACGTCCGGGGTGCTGCCGCCTCGACTACATTATTTATGCTCGATGCTGTCCAGAAGAGAGCTGTCCGACTGAACGATGACTCTTCTCTAACAGATAGTCTCGGGACCCTTTCGCACCGGCGCGCCATCGGAAATCTAGCTCTCTTCTACCGCTACACTAACGGGCTTTACTCTCTTCCATGATGACGCCGCGCGATGTGCCCGCCAGACAGACCCGCCTGACTTTGGCCTCCCGTCCTAACCGTGTCGAACTTCGTACATCCAGAACTGGCCGATACGACCGCTCCTTTGTCCCGACGGTGTCGGGATTGTGGAACAGTCTACAAGAGGAAGCTTTGGGATCATCATAGCAGCCGCGGTGTCCCGGCATTTAGGCTTCTGCCTGCGCGACTGCTTCGGTATGAAAAAAAGTAAAAAACACGAAATGTCAAAAAAACGACGACATGTCACTTTTCAAGATACGTAATACCCGTGCCGGTCTGGCCAACAAATTCAGACTAGGTAGAGGACCATTCAAGGATTGGTTTGTCCCCTAATTCTCAGTCTGTAGTGGGAATGCAATTGCACTTGACATAAGTCAATTTTCTCATAATTCTGGCATTAGATTTGTATTTTTAGTGCTACTTTCTAAAAGTGTTTGCAGATAATTGTGGTGTCAGACGATTTCAAAACATGGTGCTTCTCGCATAATTTGCAAAGAGCGGAGCTACTAAATGCTTCCACCGGCATAAGTATTATTATATGTTGATACAACGCTGTCACTTTGGTAGGCATTGGTAGACAAACGAGTCAAAAGTATGCGCTAAAACTACGCAATTTTGGCGACAAACAATGCAATGTTAACATATACGCTTGGCTCCTTCTAACCTTTTCTAATTCGTTGGGTTAGGCGGACTTGAATGGAATAAACTCGTTCTTAGCCCAAGATACCATACCGTCAGTGATCAGTGCGGCAGCCAGGTCAGTCTATCTTGGAGCACCGACCCGACCTCCCAGGATGTGGACGTTTAGGAAGTGCTGGAGAGATTCCTCCGTTGAGGTGCACACATCTTGCATTCAATAAATATTAATTGTCACATAGAACACCTCCATCGTGCCAAGATAACGATTGTTATAATCGATAAATAGGCAAATTATCTGAATGTCCTTTAAACATGCTTCTCACAAATTGAAGCATCGGTGATTAAATCAGTTAAGCATGTAACAATTTGTCATTTTCAAAGCTAACTATGACATAATTAGTTTTTCCAAATTAACTTAGGCCCGTATCGTCAGTCGTCCCTACAATTGTAGGGCGCGTTTATGGCCTCCTTGATTGTCATACTCTTTTCTCTCCTTCAAAAATTTCTAGATTACACTCGTCCCGTGTCAGCGTCAGCGCTCTCCTATTGTTAAGATATATTTTCCTTTTAAATTTCAGGCTGATAAAACATGATAAAACTCAAAAGCAAGCACAATTTGATGCAAATAGATGTTTGTGACATAACCTCAAAATAGAGCGCTGACACGGAGAAGTAGAAAACTATGACAATCAAGGAGGCCATAAACGCGCCCTACAATTGTAGGGATAACTGACGATACGGGCCTTAGATTTGACAATTTCAAAATATTATACATTTTTTTTAAATCAGAATTAAAAATTCTGCAACAGTACAAAAATCCAAAATGGCATCTATAAGAAAAAAATAAGGTTAATCATTGAGTATAAGTGACGAAACGTCATATTGAAAGTCTAAGTATGCCATCTTGTAGAAAAGAAAAAGTGGCAATGTTAATATAGTTTCTATTTTAAAGTCCCATCTCAAATGAAGCCAGTAATAAATATAAAACAATTTTGAGAAAACTCGGTTCCTTTCGTTTATCTCCGGAAATTCTCGGAATTGCGAAACTTTGTACGTGCCATTTTCTTGGTTACCTAAATGCGCATTGTTGCTCCCATTCTAGCCGATTTGTATCTGTTACCGTTTCCGAAATCCCAACGGTGGAAATCGGATATGAAATGCCCGGTATATCGAATAAATTTTATAACTTATCAGCAAAAAAAAATAAGTTATCGATAGAACATCATTACTACGAACTAGTAATGGCATTATTACTACAGATTCAGTAGACACAGTTTTTGGGACTATTATTGGAAATTATTTAAGAATACATATCCTCTTTCAAAATACGCCCATCCTATAAAATCATTCAAAGACACACTCACCTGCACATTTTTTACTACTCGAGCCCTCAATCATGAATATCAACTTGTTCAACATGTTAGTATGAACCAGTCTGTACATCAAGACCAGAGTGCTGTTCAAAAGTACAATAAACGGAACTGACAGTGTACATAATATGAAGACGCTTCTGATTATGTTTACATGTAAAACAAACAACTTCAATCTCCAAAATGTGCAAGAAAGAAAGATCGTTCCAAATATCATGTTTCTTATTACTGCTGGGATGACATTTTGAAAGGTAATAAACCGAAGTACGCTGTTGGTTTTGACAGGCTTCCAAGACGATGATCCTACTAGGTAGCTGAAGAAGTAAGTTGTGAAGCAGAGATGTTTTCTTAGATTCATCGGTTTTTTACTTTTATCAAACAACTTTAAGAATCCTGAAAGATAGAAATTAATGAGAGGATTTCTAAACGGAGGCCCAACAAAAAATGTTGCCAAATGCTCATTTAAAAACAAATCTGTAGAATGTAAATAACTTTGACCTTTAAAAAGGTTTGCTGTTTACACTCAAAACAATCAGAAAATTGGAATATATACAGAAGCGAAGTGTGTAAACTTCTGCAACTTTGATTATTTGTTCTTACTTGAGCATACCTATGTCAAATATTCATCAAAATTCAATTAATATTGTCAAAGTTATACAGCGATTAAGAACTAGCAAGTAAACGGATAGATCGACGGAAATGAGAGATGGTTCAACATCATGTACTTGGAAAAGGCCTCCGTCGTCCCCGAAACCATTAATTAACGTATTCTTCCTGGAGATAGCCAACCTAATGCTATATTCCCGCGTCCAAAAAAGTGCCGCTCCTTAATAATGGGAAACTAACTTTTAAAGGTTTAGTGTCTCAAAGATGGCGCTATTTATGAGCATATAGCTACAGCGCCATCTACGGGACACCATCCGCTTCAAATAAGATTCCTTATTATTGCAGAAAGGAGAAACACAGCTTTCGCAAATCCTCACAGATGATGCTATGGTTTCTCATTTCATCTCGGATAACTTTTTGGACACGTAAATGCAGTTTTAGGTTGGGTATCATCAGGTAGAATAAATAGACTAATCAATGGTAAAACATAATTCAAATATATGTGGTTTAATTTAGCTGCCTGTCAATCGTAGTCCTATGTACCATCAGCAAAAAATTAATGTAATCAGTTATAAAATAACCAAAATACCATCTCATATAGAAACAACCATAGTAACAGTGATCTTTCAACGTTGTCAATGTGAAAATTTTCTGTCTGTATAACGTGGTCACAATCTGCTTAAATGTAAAAGGAAATCTATTTGAATATGCACCCAAATGCTGGGTTTGTGGGTTCGGTATTTAAGACCATCGAAAGGAAGTGAAACAAACCTTCTGGCTCATTAATCGGCAGCTAGCTCTTGAAACAATGAAAAAAAAACTTCGATTAGAACTCAAGTCTGGAGTCCTAAAAAATATACTTTAACTTTATACTAAAGCGAATGGTTAATTTCATTCATAACTCACATTTCCAAATTGATACAAGATAGTTTTTACTCTACTCATTTTAGGAAAATATGGTTACTAATCAAAAGAATAGTGTGTTAGGTATTAAAAAGATACTATTTCTCAGGGTCAGTCATTCCTACAATAATTGTAGGACGCCTTAATGGCCGCCTTGATTTTCATAGTTTTCTACTGTTCCGTATCAGCGCTCTATTTTGAAGTGATGTTACAAAAATCTATTTGCATTTTCAGGCTTTTGATTTATATCATCTTCTATATAGCCTGAATTTCCCTACAATTCAAAAAGAAAACATAGCGTGACAATAGGAGAGCGCTGAGGCTGACACGGAACAGTAGAATTCTAGAAACATTCATGAAGGAGTGAAAATACTATGAAAATCAAGCATCCATGTTGGATGCTGCTTAGAGGAGGGTTGTCCGACTACTTACCAATTTTCAGACTGTTTTAACTCAAGTAAAATATAGTTGAATATATGTAGAATCCAACTACAAATAACAGCTTATGGCTATTGTAATAGAAATTTCCGACCAGATTATTAATTCAAGGTAATAATTTATTTACGCGTTCATATTACGTTATAACTGGATACAATGGTGAGCTTTTCCATCGTCCTTTCAGACCAATGCTGATTAATTTGGAATCGATTAAATAAATTGATTCCAAAAATACAAATAGGAATACTGGAAAATACCTGTATCGTACAGTTTGGCAAACAGAGAAAGATAAAGTTTTCAATACTAAATGTAGTCAATATGACGTATTTATCACATGTAAATACGGACGTGAAATTTCATATACCAAGAAAAAAATTACCCCTTCATCTGCTTCTATCAGTCTTGACTCAGTAGAAATATTGATATTACCCTCATGAGCATGCAATTATCTATTTTAGGGTGACAAGAATCATTCCAACTGAATTAATAACATATGTTGTCGAAACTGCATAAAATTGCTGACTCATGAGTTCTGTATAAGTGTAATGGGATGTTTTGAATACTGGGGCTACACATTTCTACTATGATTGAATAAAGAATCAATTTGGCAATAAGGTACCAAACGCTCAGAATAAACAGAAGTATATGTTCGCGGTGCCAGAGTCGTGGGGGATCATTTTTATAGCGGAGAGCATTTTGAATAAGTGACATAGACAGTTTACACGCACTTTACTTCTCACGCCTAACTGGTGGAGCAAGTATTTATAAATAATAAAATAAGTAAATAAAATTGTCGAGTATGCATAACTTACCAATAGAACAGATTTTAATCGATGTAGATTACATAGTAAAGCAATATAACATGATGAAAAAATTATTAAAAGAAATCAATGTGTTAACATCAAAACAAATTACTTAAATTCTAATTAAAAAAAAGGTAATTATGTTGATAGAGTACTAATATATGATGTTAAGGAGACTTGGTGTTTTTTGAAAAATAAGAAAAATATCATTGTTACTAAGGCTGGCAAAGGTAATATGATGTTGATTCTTGATATAGGATACTACATCAATAAAGCTAGTCGGATACTAAGTCTATTTACATCATAATTGATAAAGGCCCTACAATAAGGGTACAAAATAGATTAATTTTTTTCTACACCACAGTCATACAGTGACCGATCAGTTTTCTACCCGTACCATCAAAGCTGCTTGAAAAAAGTCATTTCATCCCAGCTGAGAAATGACTTGATTCAGCACAACAACCAGCGTTTGATAAAATTAGAGATGTTACACCCGAAGTATCTCAAGAGTCTCTTCTCGACCATTTGCTCTTCGACATCTATACGTCAGACATAATTAAAGTAGTTAAAAGCTGCAATGTTATGACATACGCTGACGTTACCCAGATGTATATATCTTTTGATATCCAAAATTTTGTATACTCCGCTTCTCTTATTAATAATGATTTAAATGCGATTTCAGATTTTGCGAGTGTGATTTTGATTGTACGATTGTTTTTGATGAAAAACTAAAATTCCGTTAACACGTTAGTCAAATTTCTAGAACCTGTCATTTATGATTACTGCTTATATATTTATGCAAATTCATTATGACTAACTATATTAGAAACGCTTTATGTCAAAGCTTAGTTGTATCCACAATTCTACATTGTGTTATCCGTTATTTTCCAGGTTTAGATCAAACCACAGCAAAACGACTTCAAAATATCCAAAATAATTGTCGTCCAATAAATAATTTGAAAAAAGATAACCATACTTCAAAAAGCATTGATAGTATATATGTATATTGATACCTGGTTAAACGTCGCTGGGTTTTTCCGATAACATTCCGGGGGTTGCATGGAAGAGCAACTATGTTGAATGTCGCCTCCCTCATCAAATGAGTTTTTTTTTCCTTGTTATTCTTTTAACTAAAAACTAAAGATATTATTATTATTATTATTTTGTCACTCTTGCACATAAAACTAAAGAGTCATTATATTTAAAAAATAAACTCATACCTCGCTTAAATATGATTTCATCCAATAGAGTTATCAGGTCTCCGCATTTATTCACCATGCCTCACCACAAGACAGCATTATCAGATCTTCAGGGTGGCCAACTAAGAATGTGAGATACTGTATCTAGGAACCTATCCATCGTATAGGCTTACGTCAAAAACAATTATATTATATCGTAAAACGGCCAAAGAGAAAACTGCAATATTGAATCCAAAAAAGTGATGTTTCTTGTGAATTCCGCTATATTAATCTAACAAAAAAAATCCTGATCTTTAAAGTCGAGGATAATGTGAACTTTTTTGTTTGATAATTTTTGCTGTATCTCTAAAAATAAAGTGGTGGGGGTATTCAAATGTTTCCGTAAAAAAACACCCTGAATCTTCGAAGCGGCTGAGCTGATTTCAACAAACTTGGGCTAGGTGAAAAGAGCCGCTCTTCAGCTACAAATGTTATGATATTTTAAGTTTTGTTAGTTTCACATGTGGCCGCTAGAGAGTTTTTTTGACATCCCGACAGAAATGGTTAATTTTCTGCAAAAAATCAAATACATTGGTATGATTTTTTTTATGAAAAAGCAGCAAAGTGATGTCTAAATGAGCTCACGAAAGCCGCATATTGATATCTGGTTCTTAACCTAAAATGTAGGCCAAAGAGAACTTTACATGGTAATCCCTCGAGTTTTTATTTATTTAAACTAATTTTTCTGAGATAAAATCACACTCTTTGAAAATATTACAAAATATCGCTAAAAGGTAAATAAGTAATGCTAATAACAAATGGCATATTTTTTGTTTAAATACCTATTAACTATGGGTATATACGAAAAAGAAAATTAATAGAAGCAGACCATGGAAAACAACAAAACAAATACGTTACTTTGAGCAATTTTTGTGCTTACCAAATGCGTTTCAAGAACGATGAAGCTGTTGATTTGCTTGCAGTTTATTTTGAATGTCTTCAGAATGCCTCAGTAGCAAAAAGAGTTTACGTAACTCGATATCCAAATCGGAGTCTCTGCGATATGAGATTTTTCCCCTATTAGTGATGAGCTTACGAGCCAATATGGATATTACAATAAAATAACCAGATGTCCTAAGAAAAATTAAAGAGAAAGTGGTACTGTTTAATATAATGTATGGAAAACAATAAAAAGTTCAATGATTCACTGTTTTTAGGTTTTCGTTTTTTGATAAATTAGACTAAGTATCATCATGAAGTGATGATGTGAATATTTGAAGATATCATTGAGTTGGTAGATTCATAAATCCATAAATAACGATTGACTATAAATTGTCAATGAAAGCAAAATTGCTTGTTGCGATACTTTCTTTGATAATAATAGCAGTAAGTGATCTATTACTAATGTCAGTATTGTTTTGGTTTTCTCGTCACTCAAATATACGTGATACTATTTATTATGCCATGGGCTTCAGAATTGCAAAGTGTTTATGATGAGTATGGTCTGATTGAAAAAAGTTACATGTAATTAGATAGGTTATTTTTCAATGAACCCACACACTTGAATTTGCATCAAGTAACTTTGTAACCTCTAAATTTCTACAGATGTCCATTTTGAAAATATGTGTAGATGACATATTTACTGCAGTACAACGTCTCAGAATTAATGAAATTGTTGATATATTGAATAGCTATGACGAAAGAATCCATTTTACAACTGAAGTTGAGTCTGATCATAAAATTTCTTTTCTAGGCTGTTCTACGATTCATCTAACAGACTCAAGTTTGATCGATATTACAGTCACATATTCTCCGAAAAGCTCCTCAATTTTACTTCAGTATACCCGTAAAGGCATGAAATTAATATCATAAACAATATTAAACATAGTCTAATAATATTAGCAAATTTCCCCAAAATAATTGTAAAGTCTGGTTTCATTGGTGAAAGTTGTTCATTCAAAATATGGGCGCATGAAATGGGTAAACCAATGTTTGAATTTACTTAGAAGAAAAAACGTAACCCATCCTTTTTTGCATTAAAATTACATTCATCTTCCGGAATGGTTTGCGATTTATATCGGCAAGATAAACTAGTGTATTTTTGCTATAATATGCCCTTTGAACTATCTCTGTATATTGCTGATAAACTAGTAGTGATGGCCGGAAAACAGGAAAATTTGTGTACTTTTTTATGCGTCCATGATCTGAATACCCTTTGAACAACTTGCAGCAATAAAAAATATATCACTCATAAAGGAAATACTATGAAAAACCAACTACCCTTTGTCTGTATTACTATATTATAAAACACTAAGCAAATTGATTGACCCAACACCAGTAGTACCAATGAAGCAGCAAAACTCTACTCAGAAATTTCATATGTCAAAAAATCTATCGGGGAAATTGTTTAGCATTCAGAGTTCAAGTACAATTAAGATTGGGTGTAAAACTGAAAATTAAATATGGAACAACTTTTTTAGTAAGCTTGAGGACACAACTCACACAGAACAATCAAATATAATATGTGGAAGGATTCTAAGCAAAGCTGGTAATCTAAAATGGAAACCGACTTTGGCTAGCACTGTACATAGGGACAGGAGAAAGGTGCTTAAAGAACATAATAACAGAACATAAAAGACACTGCAAGAATTTTCACACACAGGCTTCAAAATATAATTTATTCAATTTTGATACTTGCGAGGTATTATCTAGAAATGTTAGAACTAGCAATATTGCTTTCATTCACAGACGGCCAACCAGTGATAGCTGTTTCGTGCTATTTGGCAACTCTTCATCATGGTGTAGGCATGGTGTCGGTGGACAACGAACGAAAGCAGAGCAACGTTACTATCCAGAATATAATGTTTATCGGAATAAGACAAAGTGCACCTATTACCAGTATTGGTCTACTAGCAATGCAAAATGAGATCATCAGACACCTTGTTGTTTTTACTTCCGCTTCACTTTAGAAATGTTAGAGATTAAAAAACATAAAGATTCAGTTAACAGAACAACAGACATAGCTTATTCAAGTATTATATACTACGATATTATTAATTTCATACAATGGAAGTAACAACCACCCCGTGACATTTATCCACAACAAAAAGGCATCAAATATCGCACGAAATAACTTTTCAGTTTCTGCCTTCATAAATACTTTCTCCTTTCCTTCGGACTGTGTTTGACCATATCCTCATAATGATATATCAAAGTTAATTAGTTGCTTGTTAATTAGTTGCAGTATAAATGTTAATATCCATGATTAACACCATATTGAAGTGCTATTTGATCACCACAGATTCTGACTAAAAGGGTGAGTTCATTTTTAGTAGAAATTAGTAGAAATATGTTATCTAAATAACGATTAATTTTTATCCCACATGCATGTCAGGCCAATAAAACCACATATAATGTCAGAATGTTCTTTACTGTAAACGTTTCAATCACAAAGGTGCTCTCTTCAGTACAATGACAATATATTTATTTTATCTGTCTGCTAAGTGACATTTCTTTCTCCTTTCCCTCATCGCATTCCTATACGCCAAAAGCCTTCCAAAAAACGCAAAAACTCTCCAAGAACTGTTGTCGTAACACACCGGTTAATTCTTAAGCAATCTTCGACTAAATTGTTGCAAGTGCATAGTTTTGCATCTGAAACACGAGAAAGACTACTTCATGTCAATCTAAGACGAACCAAGTTGTTTGTTCTGTGAGAAAATAACATATGACAACAGTTTGGCCTTAAGATGGCAAAGCAGAACTCTGCTCGATTGACACCCAACAACAAATCTGGATTAAAAGCTCATGGTACATTAGAATGGAGAATATCAATTAGATCCTTCCTTTAAGGATATTCAACCAAATTGGGTCACTGTCCACAGAAGAACTAGAAAGGCAATCCTTTACCTTCATTTTGTAATTGTTATTTTCTTTATGTGGTATTGAGACCTCCCCCATTTTACACAGTCCTGATTCCCATACATGTTTGTTCAGTGCCGATTTTGTGGGTTCGCCCTTTATGTTCCTTTATTCAACATTTAACCGGTCCTGATGTTTCACCGATGTGCCGCAGTCATAATCTATTTTATATAATGAATTTTTCATATGTTTTCTGTGGTGCAGTAGGGATCTTTTATTTACGGTTTCTTGCCTTTTTAATATGTTTACCCATTATGTTGGCAATACTCACGTTTTTTGTTACATTTTGTTTTTTCACTTAATTGAGAAACTTTGACTTCTATCATTTTTTTACTTAAATTGATAATTATTATGTTTTTAATTTTCTTTGCAGAGGCCTGAAGAAGGGAATACATTTTTCAGACACGTCGGCAACTTTATAACAGGAGACATGTTTCATTAGTTCCTAAATTCAATCTCATACAAGTCATTTTATAAAAATGAATTTAGAAATCCACTTTGAAAATACTTAGTTTTTGGTTCTGTCACCATTTCATCACTTTTTAGTGCCTGTCTGACGAGTATTTTAATTGGGTATCTTCAGGCATTGATAAGCGTATTCTACCTTAATATACTTAATAAAAATAGCCATAAGAGAGGCGTCAAAAAGGGATTGAAGATCGTAATGCCATCTATGAGATAGCGGGAGAATCAAACAATGTAGATCTTTTCAAAGTAGACTTATAAATCCATTTTTGTGTTTTTCTACTGTTTCATGATGGGGTTGGGATCTTTCAGATCCAATTTTGAACACGTAGAATACTTTAATGACCGTTTCTTCGTCAATACTTACTGGATATATAGCAGATTTATATTTTCACGACGCAATCGAGGCGCAAAATAATTAATTTCTCATTGCTCATAAATTCAAATTATGAATCTAAGTCATCAATCTTTGGAGTTGACCATGATCTCATGTTATTGTTAATATACTCTTTATAAAGATTAATTGGCCAATTTTGAAAACTTAAATGTTTTGAAATCCTGTAAACTATAAACATTTTGAAAATTTTTGTGGTTTTGTGATATTGAACTTTTTGAAAACCAGTGTTGATACTCTGAAGTGAAAATGTTAAATCCTATTGTTTGTTTAAAATCCAAGGAGAGATCATTTCTCAAACGGCAGTCGATTCTCTGTCCTCCGTCTGAATAAGAAGATGATGAATCAGTGAGACAATGACAAGATAAGTTACAGGACTTACATTGAGATTCTTCAAACTAGGATATTTCAGAATGTTAACACAATTTAGATGCCTACTACGACATTACAGTAGAACAGTTATTAAAAACTCTACTACTAAATATTTTTACATGTTAAAACGTTCTGTAATGGTGATGCGAGATAATGATTCTTGAAAATAGTAACATTCACGTCTGATTTAAAATTCAGATTAATATGGTATTGTTTAAAGTTCATCAATATTCAAACAATACGAAGTCTTTTTTACGTCAGAACGTGAGTATATAAGCTTCGAATTGCTTTCATGTTTGTCACCTACAAGCAGTTTTAGTTTTAAGTTCATGTAGGTATCCTCAAATATTTAGTGATTGTGATCGAAGGTTTTGTGAGAAAAAAAAGTGAAACGTGTTGCCAACAGTGGTTATATAGCAAAGTGCCTTAAGAATACATTGGTGGAGCATCTGAGCAAATAATAATTTTATAGGATATTTGGCTATAACTAGGGCAACTATAGGCCAGCTATCAAGATCATATTACAAGCTACAATTTAGACTATATCAGCCACATCTCGGCTACATCTTTGCAATGTGGTCTGTAATGTGTAGACACGTTCTTTTGACAGTAATTCACAACTAAAAAGCTACAAAATCGGGCATGAATGACTGACGAGATTATAGGATTCTGATAGTTCGGCTATCTGGCAGCAATATATAAAAAAACTATCATACTAAATTGCCGTATGTCGCTGGCTGAGCTATAGAAGCTAGATAATGCAGTAAAAACATTGTCCGCTTAGAGGCGTCATATTATACGAAGTTAAGCAAGTAACGGATTAGGGCTAAGTTTATTTGGGGTTTTAATTTGTAATTACCTCTAAAGCTAACGGAAATTGTGCGGCAGTTGGTAGCTGATTAGGAAAACGCCGTATCTCAAAAATTTAGAGAGGATGAAGGGATTCAATCAGGGTCGGCAATATTTCCAATATTTTTATGCTTTAACATCGCATTCCAAAAAGTCCAAATAACTTCTCAAAAACGATCATGCCCTTCGGGGGTTTAAAATAAATAGTAGATACCGAGTCAATTGCTTGGCTATGTACTGACCTTTTTTCCTCAGTTAACGGATACATTTACCAGTGTTCCCACCATCTTCACAGCATGAAGCTGCGTGAAATTGTTCAGAAAATAAAAATTGAAATCCACTTGCAGTTTGGGAAAATGAAAGAAAAGGGTGATATCAGTGGGATTTGAACATCCATCTGCGGTATTCTGTATCATCAGGTCTGTGTTAAGATTGTGCAAAAACGCAGCCTAAATGGTAGAGGTTGCAGTAAGAAATACCGGAACTGCGGGTTCGAATCCCAACGAATGCAGTTTTTTCTGCCTCTCGCCAAACTTCACGATGGTTTGAAGAAACTGTAACAGATTTTATAAACAGTCGAGTATAAAATATCGCAGTCGTGAGAAAAATTTTCCAACTTGATTATTTTTCATAATCACGTTTGTTGGGGAGTGAATGGAGATATTGTCGGGCTGTACTTTAGTGTGAATATGTTTATACAAATTACATAAAATTAGTTGGCTTTACTTTAAAATACTGTTATGCATTTAATGTTTTAATTAAGAATCAAATAACAACGCTTTAAAAAGAGCTAAGCTTATAAAACTTTTCGGGATAATGTAGGTAAAGGTTTTAACTTTGATTTATCCCAAAAATTACATTTTTCAGGCATCAAATCGCTCATAACTTGAAAACGGCCATCTTTAGGAAAAAGTTACTAAAAAACTTTTTTTGTTCAAATATCCCAAAAAAGCTAAAATAAGTTCATCGAGATGTAAAAACAACATTTTTTGGTTACTTGTGTAAAAACGTATTCAAACAAGTTTGCATCGAGTTATCGCACGGCATCTTCATTCATGTCGAGGAGCATCCAAAAATGCAGTGGCGTATGTACGGGAGGAGGCCGGGTGCCTATGCCTTCTCGAGCAGTACAAAATACTGATCATGTTCTGTGCGAATTTTTGGGTTCACTATTGTTAAGACATAGACCTACTCAAAAGGTCTAAAAAAATCCATAGAGCCACTGTCTCTACTCTACCAGTTGAAAATCACAGGAAACAGACAGAAAAAGGTAGTTGACGGTTTTTAAGGACAATATATTTTATAGCCCACTACTCAGAAATTCTAAGCAAAATTGAACGGAAATGCTATTTTCATTCATCGAAATGTTGTCATTTACGATCATACTTATGAAAGTCATAATTTTTTAGTATATTCTAACCCTCCTTCGAGACAAATGTGACTATGAATTGAAATCGAGTCGGGAAATTTCTGAACCAAATGGGAGGTTTTCGCCTTATCTAAAGGGAATTTTCTTTTTCAGCATAATGTCAACTGCAACAGTCACGCCAGACGTGGCGGCAACCAGCGGCTCATTGCTGTCCGCTAGCACTGTCTTTTACTTCTTGCTCATCCCTGCAGTGCTGCTATGGTACACATACTGGTACATCAGCAGGAGACATATGCTTGAACTGGCCGAAAAAATTCCCGGACCCAAAGGATATCCAATTATTGGAAACGCTCTAGAATTTGTTGGCTCATCACCGCGTAAGTACATGAATCGCAAAAAGTGAATCGATTGACGGAACGAAGTTTGAGCGATTTTCAGTTGTTTCGTTCGTCCTTAGCTCCGCCGACACTGGATTGGAGAGCTGCTCATAGTAGTAATCTTACATCAACATTTTACCTAATATCAAAATCTATAGAGAGACCAATGATTTACGGATGGACAGACAAAAGATAGACCGACAGACCGACACACCGGAAGGCGGAAATGATCGCATGAGTCAAAAAGAATACGTAATATGCAACTTTTCACTTTCCACACTCCCGTCTGAGGAGCCCAAAAACTTCACTTTGGACGACTGAACATGTTCAAAGCATTCCTGTTCCCTTTACCAACTTTCTGATCACAATTGTTCTCACTTATCTCTAAGTGAAAATTAGAATTTTTCTTACAAAGTCGGCCTTTCTTTCATATTCGTGAAAACAGTTTCGATTTATGCCAGTTTGTTATATTCACAGTAAAGTTCAAGTATCTTAGAATATCTACAATATTTTTTTTTCTTTACACTTGCGCTTTACAGACCTGCCATGTATTGGATTTAGCCATTTTAAGCGACCTTTTGATCTTTAATTTTAAAAATTTTATTTGGGCACTCCAGCGTCAGACAGACCATCTGATAGACCGACATAAATTAGTGATATAGTTTTTCATGATGTACGTATATATGATATCTAAAAAGCATAAAACCTCATTTTTTGCAGTTACAATACAGTAGCAAGTAAAAAGAAAAATATTGCGGTGCACAAAGCTCCTAAAGAAGTATTACAAAGTAAAACATCAAAAAACTGTTAATAATGATACTTAAAGCTTATACAAAATATAATAAAATTACATAAAACGCAACGAAAAAAGCCAGTTTTTTAACTCACCTCCCTTTCGTATATCTAAACATATGCCCCTCAAAGATCATGGAAATAATTTCACAGAATCTTTATTAAAAGCATCTTACCTTTTCCAGAGATCTTCAAAAATGTATACAGCAAATCATATGAATTCGGCACAACTGTGAAACTATGGGCAGGTCCCAAACTTATGATCTTCTTGACTGACCCAAGAGATGTTGAAATCATCCTCAGCAGTCATGTCCATATCGATAAAGCTCCAGAATACAGGTGAGTTGCATACAATGTAAAACTCATAATCGGTCATTGATTACAAGCATTATATTTGAAGCGATTGGGGAAATAAGATACCCAAGCTACATTAAAAAATCACATTTCCATCGTAAAACACCCGTGGCATAGGTATCCAATTAATCGACTTTATTTGCTGCCACATAATGAGATATTATAACAAAAATACAAAGATAATAATCCGTATTGTCAAAGTTTAGCTGAGAGCTAATCTACAACTTAACCGACTCCGAAGTTGATTTTTTTAACAATTCGCTGATAGATATGTCGCTATAATTTGCTGAACAACCACGATATCTCACACATGTCAAACGGAAATTAGTCGATTGTTAAAACTGTGATACATCGGAGTTAGATGGTTCTGGATTTAGTTCAGATGGTATTGTGAAGAACAGACACTATCCTCCGACTGATAGCAGTTCTGATAGTGACTCTGAGCGAGTAACTCAAGAAAATTAATAAATGTATGGCTTTACTGCTGTTATTAATGTGGCTTATGCTTTTGTTACGTAGGAACACTATTTTCTGCTTTACTTTTACAATACCACTGCTTAATGATTTTAAATCATCTATTTATCAAAATATATCATTATACTTCTTGAAAACGACTGTCATAGACTGCAAATGACTTTAACACGTGTAATTAATAATGTGTAATTTTGTGATGACTGGCTTATGCCATTCTTGACCAGATACATTCATATGTGTGACTTGTGACCTTCTTCGGTCTTCAGGAACATTCATAATTTTTCGAAATATTCGAATTTTCATAGTCCTAATGGAAAAACAAAACTTTTACGCATTCTGCTCCATATATTTTGGCTCCATGTCTGTCGGATAAGGACTCAGTCAAATGTAATAGAGTGTGCTGCTTTTTTGGCACCCAACCACGGTATTTTCAAAAATGAATTTATTTTAAGAAAATAGGTTGTATTTTATGGATTTCGTTATCAAATTTTTGTTTCTCATACTGTAAACCGATTGTGACATTTCAATATAAATTAGGCAAAAAACGCAATTTCAAGACTTACATGAAACTTAGTAGTGCAAAAAATTCTATAGATACCTCGTCACCAGAAGACCATTATCGGTGTCGCTCATTTTATGAAAGTGCTCGCCCAATTATGGACCTCTTCTCAAACTAGGTATGTAATGTACTATTCATTTGGGGCATCTCAACTGAAAGCTCGAATAAGCAGTTTTTATGTAGAATTGGTCAGGCTTAAGGATGTTGATAGTATTTTTCTGCATGAACCAGTCGTGTAATTTTTTGGTAAACATAGTGACCGGCACGAACCATGTTCATAAAAGTACTTTAGAAAACAAGTCTATACATGTCAATGTGACATTTGAGAATACAATTGCATCCCCACCCAGGACTTGATTTAGGTTAGCTTGAACTTCGTACATTCAGAACTGGTCGGTACGACCGTTTGTTCCTAGGGTGTCGAGATTTTGGAACAGTCTGCTTGAGGAGGCTTCTCCCAGTTATGCCAACCTTTAGGTAGACCAAAAATCGGATTAACGAATTAATTTTCTTGTCTTGTCGCAGTACGCCGCTATTTAGAATTCGTTCAATGCAGCTGCATCAGTATGTAAAGAAACTAAAAACTGCATTATGGAAAATGAATCTGCTCTTTAATTTTCATGGAAAAGTTCTATGACTGTACAATATGAATATGTAACAGGTATTATTGATACTACAAAACCATAGCAGCATGACCCTATTGTATATTGTTTGACCCAAGTACAATCACTTGGAATTAATGGATGGAAAATACATAGGTTGTTATAATTCCTAATTTTTAATCTGATTCAAGCTACAAAATTTTTGTATTGGTCAAAGTACCTTGTAACCTGACCCAAGGTTTATAAGATGACGCATAAAGGCACATTTCTCAAGAGGCGGGGCAGATAGGTTTCCATACTAACAAGTTGCATTGACATTGTTGCATTAGATGCATCTGACACATGTGTCTGGGACTTGTTACATTGGAAACGTGCCTTAAGCAAAGAGAAGATAAACCAACACAAGGCAATAGACAACGCGAATAAAATTAGAGGGAGATAGTGTCCAAACCAATTTGAAGGGACAAAATAACTTTTAACCACATGTTGCTATTTATCGAGAGATGAATGTGGTGTTTCCAGACAGACAATTCTTTTTGGACGAATTTATTGTTTAATCTATGTTAATGCTGATTCCGTTGGCTTCTTGTCTCTTATACACTTATGAGATCTACACCTATGCAAAGCTAGAGATTAGTTGACTTTGTTAAGCAACACTCTGTACTCTTCACATTTGATTAAGGATATACGTCCTAAGCGAATAATTCTTATCTTTACAAGCCTTTTGGTTGCAAAATCTACATGTCTGACCTTATTTATCTGTCCCCCGATGCACTCAACTTCCAGCAGAGTATTTGATTAACTGACATCAATCCAGCTAATAGTTATACGTAATGGGTAGTATACTTAGTAACAGTTTTCTCACAAAACAAAGATATCAATGATCAGATATCACTAATGCCTTAGAACAATACACACAAGTAACCAGATGCGATCTTCATACTCGACCATATTTTCTTCATCACATCTTGTGCACAAGTATACTTTATACACTACCTAGGAAGTTTATCTTAGGCAACATGATCGATGAGCCATTTCTCCTTATGTGGCACTCACAGCGAGTAAGACCGGTATGGGCTAGCGACTACTTAGTACAAGATAACACTATACCGACTTTAGTATGATATCGATTTTTTGTATAAACAACTTTCTTTCAGGTTCTTCAAACCATGGTTGGGAGATGGTCTCCTCATCTCAACTGGCCAGAAATGGAGGGCACACAGAAAACTTATTGCGCCGACTTTCCATCTTAACGTACTGAAATCCTTCATTGACCTGTTCAACGCCAACTCAAGGGAAGTTGTACAGAAGCTGAAGAAAGAAATCGGCAAGGAATTCGACTGCCACGATTACATGTCAGAAGCCACCGTAGAAATGCTCTTGGAGACAGCCATGGGTGTCAGCAAGAAGACTCAGGACCAAAGCGGGTAAGAATGAATTAAAAGTTTTCCTGATTCTCTGACAAGTACCAGAATGGAAGAGAATACTGTAACACATTAATGCGCTTCAAGACTGACATTTAATTAATACAATACAGCTGCAATACCTGCTTTTACTTATACGGGTTTTTGTTGAAATTTTTTTTAAGATAACAAGAGTAAAAGAGTTTCAAAACGAAATTCTACGTAAAACGAAGTAACAATTTTTCAAGACCGCAAATGTGTTATATTTGAGGGGTGCATCATCCCTTTTGAACCCTTTAAAATGATCTAATTGAACTTTATTACAGTCGATTAATGCTGTTTGATACACTAAAAAATGTAGCAAATTTGGAAAAGCACTGTATAATCTCAACATTCTTGTATCAACTTCAGCTGTACAGCATTTTTTTGTCAGGTATGCCTATGCCAAGGCTGTGATGGAAATGTGCGACATCTTGCACTTGCGTCACACCAAAGTTTGGCTGAGGCCCGACCTCATCTTCAACATGACCACCTATGCCAAATACCAGGAAACTCTGTTGAACACCATCCACAGCTTGACTCGTAAGGTCATCAAGAGAAAGAGAGCCGATTTCGACAAAGGTAAGAGTAGAGGAACTTAAGGGTGCAGAGCTTACCGATTTTTCGATATTTCTACGGATTACCAAAAACGTCCTTATTTTCCACGATTTTCTAAAATAATCCAAATATTACCGGATTTTGTACCGAAAAAGAACTGGAACCAAAAATAAAGCTTATATACGCATATTTCGTACTCCGCTCCCTCCAGTTCAGTCATATCGACCTGGTAGATTAGCGCCATTACCGTATCACCTGATAATCAACAAGGAAACCAAAGCTCGTTTGTTTTTAATTAAATATTGAATAAAAATGTCATGGTGCCAAGGTTAGGGGTAAGATGGTAAAAATATCCTATAAACAAGAATTGGAAAAGAAGTGACAAAGGAGCTTGAATAGCGACCAGTGCACTCAATGTACAAGTTGTTGAAGAAGTTAATATTGATTTATTCTTGCCCTTGTTTCTCTTGAATCTTCCGAATAAACTATGGAAATGGATAAATGCGGACATGTATTTATATAATGAACTTATTTTCATATTTTAACGTAATGACTTTTGCATTTTTCTAACAGTATTCTGTAGGAGCCTTTTTCTATTTAATTTTTTTCTCATAGGTATCAGAGGATCCACAGCTGAGGTGCCAGAAGATGCAAAGACCAAGAGTTTCGAGAACGTTTCATCCAAAACGGTTGTGGAAGGTTTGTCTTATGGCCAATCTGCTGGTTTGAAAGATGATTTGGATGTTGATGATGACATTGGTGAGAAGAAGAGGATGGCTTTCTTGGACTTGATGATTGAGGCTTCCCAGAACGGAGTCGTTATCAACGATGAAGAAATCAAGGAACAGGTTAGTCAATCTACTTGACTAAGGTTTTAATCACAACTTGCCTTTTCAGGATATACACCATCTGCTGCTGATGTACTATTTCGATAGATTTTGCACCTCTGATAGAGGATACTTCTGCTCAGCTTTCGTTAGTTGACCACCTAAAGATCTAGACCGTGCTAAGGATTGCCAATAATCGTAAGAGGGCGCTGTACGAGGGTGGTCTGACAGAGGAAAGCACTGTCATTTGTTATAAAAGCAGTCTTGAAGACCTTTGCCATATGCCATACTGACTTATTCTGATAGTTTGACACGAAGTTCTAAAATACAAATTCATTACAATCTTCTTTAATTTGTAACACTGGGGCTGTCCAAGTCTTCTACTGTATCCACCTCATCGTTCCCACAAACGGCCGTTATTCAAGATAAAGAAACATACGCGGCGCAGGATGAAGGCGTCCAGGAAACGATCTAAATGAATTAATGAATAGACTATAACGTCAATCGACGAAGTTCTTTATTGCCACAGGAATGTTCCATTTTCTATTTTCTCTAATCCGATTTATGAAAAACAAATTTTGGTTTATATTCACGCAATTTATATCCCTTCGCCTACTTCTGTGCGTATATATATATATATATATATATATATATGTATAAGTATATATATGAACTGAAAGCAAATAAGTAGCTTTGGTCGTTTAAAAAGCTCAAATTATTGTGCGGAATTATGCAAAAATTCTGACGATCTCTACATACCATCTAGCAGACAAGCATTCACAGAGCAGCCCAACCATGGCTTGCTATGCATATATATACATAAATAGACACGATTGAACAATCGAACCATTGGTAGGTCTAGTTCGTCAAATTTTTCGCCTACCTCCGCACAATATTTTGAGTTTTTCAAACCACCATATCGACTTGTTTGCTTAACGTTCGTCTGTCTCTAGGCCGACCAGACCTATACCGCACAGATGAGTTGATAATGAGCACGAAACAGTGCGGTCTGCGGTTGGTCATGATTACAGAGTCGAAAAGCAAACATTTCTATTTAAATCGTGCCTATTTATTCATATATGGACAGATAGCCATTGTTGGTCTGCTCTGTGAATACTTGGTATTCCGACTGCTAGATGGATCGACCGTTTTGGTGGTGCGACATCTATCTGTCCAATGCGTAGAACGTTGAGCAGTTATGAGCCGGTAGCGTTCGCGATTTCCGTCATCTTTGATCGTATGGGATGAGGATAAGATAAACTTTGACAAGCCATCGGTAGGTGCAGATTGTCAGATTTTTCGCCTACTTCCGCACACTTAGTTTGTGCTATTAGAAGTATTTCCTTCTTTTTATGAGAATTAAATTAAAATTTATTTATAAAATAGAATTTAATTAAAATTAAAGTTTCAACTCTTAAAACATCTTGTTGATTCAGGTGCAAAATATTTTAATATGTATTGTATGCTTTTTTATCTTTATAGGTTGACACTATCATGTTCGAAGGTCATGACACCACAGCCGCTGGAAGCAGTTTCTTCTTGTGCATGATGGGTGTCCACCAGCACATCCAAGATAAGGTTATTGAAGAACTTGACGGAATCTTCGGAGACTCAGACAGACCTGCCACATTTGCCGACACTTTGGAAATGAAGTACCTGGAAAGGTGCCTTATGGAAACCCTGCGTCTGTACCCACCAGTACCAGTTATTGCTAGGCAGATCAACCAGGACATCAAATTGGGTACGTTTCTATTTTATACTTCAGCTCGACTACCGTTCGAAAGTTTCCGCACACGTGATGGTTGATAATTAAAAAAGAATTATATGATAGGTCATATCTCGAAAGAATAATTAGATATCAAGCAGTCATTGTTTATTATATATATAATATAGCACAAAAGATATTTGCACATCGGTTTGGTAAACAAAAATGCTTTTTGCATTCAATACCATTGCGATAATTTATGCCATGCTAGTGACATACTCTACGACGTTTTAAACTGCGCCCGAGTCTTTTTCGCGTTGTTTTAGAGCTCTTTTTTTGGGTTCGATTCTGTTTTATGACTGATCAGGTTCATTCCAAAGAAATTCAAGATACGTAATACCCATGCGGATCGGTATCGGGAACTGATAAGATTGAAAACGCTGGTTTTTAATTGTGTTCCAAATAGTTTTTACCAAGTTTACATTAGTGTGTGTGATCGTTGTCTTAGTTGCATAACGAATCCTAGCCCGATAAGCATTTTCCTCGTGGAGACCGCTAGATAAACAGAGAAAGCTTATGATGTCCTATTTCCTTAATGATTCTATCAATTACGTGCAATATCGAAACACCATTCGATGAGAGATCTCTCAAGACCATTGCGGAAGTATACCTATGTTTCATAGATGGAATTATGCAACTAGAAGATCGCTGTTTTGTGAACGGGCCTCATGCATAAAATTTTCTTCACGTACCGAAAATGTCCAATTTGGATTCGTCCATGCAGAACACTTTTCCATGTCAAAAAACCTAATCGTAATGACTTTGGTCCAATAAAGTCAAAGTTACATTTTTTGTCAACAGCGCCGACGCTAATGTGTAAAATCAAAATCTGCTTGTTGTTCTTTGGGGAGGATTAATTCAAAATCGATAGGTGTTGGTAAGAGATTATGTATAAGCGATGCCCAGCTACATAATCCTAACTGTGCGATAGACACATACTTCCATTCAATGCTACCTCTACATTGCGTAGAATCGTTAGAATTCGTAATGGAACAGATCAACAAGAGTTCTTTCTTTACCAAAAGTTTCCCGCGGGAAGATCTACAGAAACATGATTCGTAATACGATCAAGAAGAAGATCAGAAACACTAATTCAACACAGGAGCGTACTTTGCAAGCCATGTTCCAGTTCCAATCTCCATACGGCCGAATTTCTCAACTTGATCTACGAATCATAAATCAGCGTTCATCTAGTGAATAACACACTAAAACAACTTAAAAAAAACAAAATGCAGCTTACAACATCTATTCTTGATAAATTTACTTTGGAAGTCCTAAATATTCTCTGGGTCATCTGGTATAAACAACGGATCATGACTGATGATCTATTCCTTAGTAACCCCTTCAAAGGACGTACGACAAGACGTCCATAATAAGACCTACTTGGCTGTGATATTGGAAAAGTAGCGCCCAAAAACAGTGTTAACCTTTTATATTATTTGTAGCTTCAGACAACTACGTTTTGCCTGCTGGTGCCACCGTTATCATCGGTACCTTCAAGATCCACCGATTGCCAAGCGTATATCCCAACCCTGATCAATACGACCCCGACAACTTCTTGCCAGAAAGGACTGCAAATAGACACTACTACTCCTTCATTCCATTCAGTGCTGGACCAAGGAGCTGTGTGGGTAAGTGCTTGTACTTCAAAATTGATTTCAGACCGACACTCCAATCAAATTCCGCCAAATTCGTCATATTCTTACCGAAGTTATATTTTTTGTTTCCAATAAGCTTTATTCTACCACCTAGGAATGTATCATACTGTATAACTTTTATAACACAATATCAACGCGCGTATTCCCCAGGAATCGGACTCGGCTCTGACATTGTTACTATCACATATCAAGGACTTTCTTTCCTATCCATCATGGAATTCAGAGCACCAAGGCGATCTGCCGGTGAGCTGGAGAGAAGAAGACTAGCAGGGACGTCCTAGCTGACGAGAGAACTAAAGGTTATCACTTTTTGGGAACGTAACAATTCGGTACAGTTTAATGCTTCCTTTATCTTGACAAAAAAGAAGGGCACTAGCGCTCATCCTGTTTCGAAGGATGGCCAAGTTCGACCAAAGAGCCATTAGTTTCTGTTGTTTGGGGTCCAGATTACCGAGGACACATCTCGTCAATAGGCGCAGCTACTGGGAAAACGCTAAGCTGTTTGTTTAGGGCTAAAAAGTACTTTTCTCCACATAACCTCCTTACTTTGTACAAGACCCAGATAATACGTAGCCTCGAGTACTGGTCACATGCTTGAGGTGCTCCTGCCGACCACACTATCCATTCTTGATGCTGTTCAGAGCCGAGCTATCAGACTGATCGGTGACTTCTCAAATCTTACCTCAAACTGATTCCATACCCTTTATCTATATTAAGTGTAATTTCAACACTCTGTGATTCTCTCTCTCTCAATCTCTCTCTTTTAAAGCCATTATTATTATAATGTTCTATGTTATTGGACGTATCTTCTGCCCTAAAAATATTACCAGTGTTTTTAAAATCACTCTTTTTTCCTAGGCCGTAAATACGCCATGTTGAAACTGAAGATCCTGCTGTCTACCATCCTGAGAAACTACCGCATCGTCTCCGATTTGAAAGAAAAGGACTTCCAACTGCAGGCTGACATCATCTTGAAGAGAGCCGAAGGATTCAGGGTTAGGCTAGAGCCAAGAAAGCCGATGGCCAAAGCTTAATAAGTGATTTAATTGATGGTTATTGATATTCTTACCAAAATGTTATAATTTATGATGTAATATATTTTATTTTTTATGAATGTGCAAAGGAATATTAGTGTATATATGTATGATATTTGTATGAGTGTCTTTCAGCAATAAATGAACATGTTTCATTGATTTAGTTGTTTTTCATTTAAAACGAACAAGAAATGTTTTTGAGTTCGTGATAGCTTTTATGTGTAGTCAGCAACTTTTTGGAAAGTGTTTTCTGTTACTGCATGATAAAAACAGATCCCATTTTACTTTTGTAGAAAACTGTTTATTCTTAACCTATCAGCTTTCGAATGAAAGATCGCCCTTCAACTTCATTCGCAATTATCCCTAAGATTTCTATTCCCATAATTTCGACGGAGAAGAAAAAGCTAAGCCAAAGGTTAGTTAGTTATCTAGTTATATCAAGAGGAGACACTTCGTGAAATGTCTATAATCCGGCGGTCGGCTCCATCGACCTTCTTCTGCATTATAGTAGCGGAGCTGTACGCAAATTTTTGATTACATCATCTCACACTGATATGATACTATTAAAACTAGTCAAATCTTACGTATTTTGATACTAAACAGCAACCTTGCCAATATATCATATCAAAAAGCGATGTAACCAAATCTTTGCGGTCGGGTGGTAAAGTCATTTACAAAAACAGAAAACAGGGAGCTATGAGCGAGCAGTCCTTGGTTTGGCGATTCGCTTATAGGGGGCTCGACATTCTGCCAAGGATCCGCGAGTTTCGCTCATAGGCGACTCAGTATGTACCGAGGCAGTGTTGTCAAACTGATATTGAATGTTTAGAAAACGTGACATTTATACTGAGCTGAATGAAGGTCACTTCTTTTCACGATATTTAGTGATTACCACTGTCTATATAACCGGCAATCATGTCAAATACGTCGACGATTATTCAAATAAGCAATTTGAGATCGGAAAGTGTGAAATTTCAAGCTGGGGTTCCTTTTTTGTTACCAAACTAAATTGTGTATTATTCCGCGTAGGGCCCTGAGGCCCGATTTTACTAGTGATTCGCGGGATCTAAAATCTTAATCCGAATTAAATAATAGGCCAATGAGACGGCGTCTTTGTAGTAATGGATCAAGAAATCATTTATAAATCACCTGGTTTATTTACAAAAGCATATTTTCCAGTTGATCCAGAGACCGAAACCTATGATCCGGATCAACAGTGACCAATTAGAAAGCCTTTTCGTAAAATTGCATGGATAAATAGCCAATCGGAAACAAGTATCATATACCCACCTTGTAGATGATAGAACCAAATTCAAAACAAACATAAACACCTGAGAAAATGTTAAAAAGGATATATCGTTTGTTAATTAGGTATAGATTTCAACCAAACTCCTCAATTATCTTCCACTATCACATTTTTTACTGTTGTACCTAATCCGCAGGTCGTCCTTCAAGGTAAATAGAGATGTGTTTGGGTTAAAATTGTTTTAAAGACATTTATCTGCTTTATAAAATTTCAGTAAAAGAAACGGTAGAAACCAGATAGGGGAAGGGTGGGCAAGTCAACATACTCGAAGGTAAAATCGATTTATTTTGAAAAATATAAAAGGTATCATGAATTAAAAAGCGTCATTTTTTTCATATTTATCAAATGAAAAAGAAAACCAGAAATCCATTTTAAAACTAAAAATGTAAAATAAAAAGAGTCAAAATGTCATCTTGCCCTACCCTACAGGGCAAGCCGGTATATACGTGGATTTATACATAAAGTGATCAATTATCAAAACATAATTCACAAAGCCTTCATTGATAGTCCTCACACTCTATATGAGCCCACATATGACACATTTGGCAACGTAACCAGCCTTCTTGAGATTTGGATAGACTATACAACTCATTGCAATAGAGGCATGCGCAATCATCGTCGTCGTCCTCATTAAAGGGCTCTTCACAGTCTGATTCATTTTCATAGATTTTAACTGCACCTTTTTCAATATCTTTATCTCCACATTCTAAGGAACCATCAAACACATTTGTCTTCACTGAGTTTCGCTTATTCTTTCTTACCTCTCTCGCTTTTTTAATATTCTCTTGTTCGCGAAGACTCTGTAGATATGGACTCGTGGTAAGAACATCTTGGTAACTTCCCTTGGCCTTCCTTCTTCTGGACTTTCTTGCATTTCCCTGAGGAAAAGGTGAAATTTGCAACAAAATGTTTGTGACGTTATTAGCTGAAGACTCTCCATGTTCATGTGGCTTTGTATTTACAGTTGTAGATGACTGCGGATCTTCTTCATTCAAATGTTCTGCTGCAGAGAAACATTCACCCGGATTAAGGGATTCAGTGTTTGCATCATCGGCCTCAAGTGGCACGTCAGTTACTGTGCTGGGCAAATACATGTGTTCTGGAAATATGTCCAGGTTGAAAGGTGAGATCCCTGTTGCTTTAAATCCGCTGGTGTTGCTTTTTTATTGTAGACGGAAGAAAAAAGTGACGCGACTTGATAAGGAGTGATGACACGACTTGGATTTTCCTTCAACCATTGAGTTTCTGCTGCATCGTAGTACTTACTTAGTGGTCCAAAAAAGCACACATCGAGCGGTTGGAGACGATGTGTGCAATGTAAGGCCAAACAAAATAGCACCACTGAATTTTTTTTGCAAGTTCCAATGCTTCTAAATTTTTATGGCTGATATGCCCGTCTAAAATTAGCAGGGCTTTGTTTTCGGCGTTCGGTCAAACATGTTTAATAATGTGTTCCATCCACTTTACAAATAGTTCCCCGGTGATGTAACCTGATTCATTGTACAAACATAAAGTCCCAACGGGCGCTCCGTCGTATAATGAACTCATGCACGCATCTACAGTTGAATGCACTTCCCTTTCCCCGCTGGTGATAGCACCCACTTGCTTCTTTCCTTTTAACGCAAAAATTTTAGAAGTATTTTGTACAGTTGTCAACCCTGACTCATCCATGTTAAAAATCATACTTTTGTCGATTTCTTTATTGTTTATTACGTTACGTAGATTTTCAAATAAGGTCTTTACTTGTGGTTTGTTAAAACTTTCAGCGCGTGCCATCGATGTTGCCTCTGGCTGACGTAAAGATATATTCGGATTCCTTAGTTGAAAAGAGCGTAGCCAACCTTTGCCTGCAATTTTTTCGTGTTATTGAATTGATGTTTCAACTTCATTCTCACTCCAAGTTCATATGCCATAATACGGACATCTTCGGTCGTTACGCCAAAAAATCTAGCTTCCAGTGCTAGCATATGCTCCACTAGAGCCTCTTCTAGTCCTCGATTTAAGGTTGTTTCATGTCTGCCAAGATGCTTTCTTCTACCAACAGCTATTTTATTTTGATTCATGGCATGGCGGCGAAGTGTTGCCTGGGGCACTTGGAAATGCCTGCTAGCCTTTAACCAACCCATGCGCTTTTCTGCTACAGCCTGCAACGCTCGCTCCATGTTCATCTCATTCCATGCCCCTCTATTGGTTTTTCTCTTATAATTGGAAACCATCTGTAAATTAAAACAGCAGTTGCAAATTTTAGGTCATGAGGGCCAAGGACGCATCTATGGAGGGGGGATTAATGGGGATAACAACTCCCCCCAGCCAGGTCCCATAATTTAAATGAATAGAAAACACTGGATAAAAATACTATAATAGCTTAAAAATATACTCCCCCAGGAACATTTCATAGATCCGTCCTTGAGAGGGAAGATGATACAGCTATATTTCAAATTTCCCTCTAGCGTGTGTGGTCATAACATGAAAATATGGCCGGTTAAAATATAACCTAAAAACAGTTGCAATATCTTAAGGTAAAGCTTGGGAACACCCTTTTTATCTCCAAAATAAATCATGACAAGAAATACTATAATAGCACAAATATGCAACAAAACATATGGTACTTACATTGGACCAAGATGCAACAATGACACAAAAAAGTAAATATTTTTTTAAACGTACGGAGTATCCACACCCAGACTATCAAAAGATTACTGCGCAGGAGTCGATTGTAACAAGCGTATGAACTGAACCAATAAGGGATTAGTTTTCGTGGTGGGGGCAATGTGTCGTCTTGCCCGGCTATGTCAACTTGCCCACCTTTCCCCTAAGAAAATATACAACAATAAGAAATATCTGAAATAACAGAATATGCAAAATGGAAACTCTTCTTTCTTGTGCCTTTTTGTCGGCTAGAGATGGGGGTGTGTATTCAGATAATAACGATATCCGAATACGCGTTTCATATTTTTATGTACTGTTTTGTGATACGCCGACCTCGCCGGCATACACGTTTCATTTTATACAACGTAGATATTCCACACTCGTTAAAATGAATTAGTATCTGGAAATACTTCACGCTATTCATCACTATTATCAATAAATTTGAATCTTTGATAAACACAAACGATCGGATAAAACTAATATTATTATTTGAATTTCCTTTGATTGCCAATACTTTGCGTACATATCGCGCGCGTACACACACAGAAGATGTGTCCGCCAAACGTGGTTCAAATATCTACAAATTACAACATTAAACGGCAATTTAATCGATAATTGACCGGTTGATTCATTTTTTAAGATATAGCCTTTTTCTAAAATGGTTCTTTTAATAAAGCGCTCAGTAATTGACGTCATATCAGTCTAGGCATTATATCAGATTTGATGCAGTTTTACAAAAACGCTTTCTAATTGGTCATTGTTGATCCAGATCCTAGGTTTGGTCTCTGGATCGACTGAAGAAGTATGTTTTTGTAGCTAAGCTAGGTGATTCATAAAAAAATTCTTCATTTAATATGGGGATTAGAGGCCCTTCTTACACAAACCGCATATGTTTTTGCTAGTTTGAGAAATACTTTAGAAAAAATCGACTATACTGATTAGATCCATTATTAGAAAGATGCCTTCTCATTGGTCCATTTTGATCTGGATCAAGATTTTTGATCTACTGTGAGTAAAATTGGGTCTAAGAGTTAGATATAGCCCTGTGAAAACTTGGTGTTGAGTGCGATTTATAACTGCATTGAATTAAAAATATACTATTTCGTTAGCGGCAAACGGATGATAAATATCCCCACCATGAATAAATAACAACAAAAGTAAATTGTTTTGGATTACATCTCTTATCTCCCTCTCTATTTTGCCTTGTCTGTCTTTTTTGACATAACTACTCTTTGACAATATCCTGCGGCAACAGTCTGAGAGGTGACAACCTTAACAGCTAAAGATGGTGGTGGAGAATTATATAGTTGAAAGCATAAGTGGTTGGAGGCGGTACGGTACGTCTGCACGTTTTCCCCACAGGCACGGCTTTCCGTGAATTGAGTCAGGTTCGGATCTAGAAAATATTTTTGGAGAGGATCCATCTGAGGATTTTATATTTTGTCTGCCTGCCACTTGGAAAACATGTTCCATTTTTTTATATATACATATTTTGGGAGGTCCGGATCCCCAGGTCAAACCGGCATCCGCCCCTGAATTGGGTTTCTCTGCATTCGAAAATATTCGTATTTTGAGGGGAGATATCAATGTAGTAAAAACCCAGGGGGAGGGGGGAACGTCTTATGGGTGGACTGGCAACACCAAGGTCATCCTCTCCAGGCAAAATCGAGGAAACTGCATTACCGGAATCACGTGACGTGCCAGGATTCTCTATCTTTACCTAAATGTAAAAACATCAGATATGGCGTTTGTTTTGGTTAATATCCAGATTATCAACACTGATAATGCTTTCGGAGATACATATTTCGTTACAAATGACGATAAAATATAAAGCAACCACATCAGTAGCTATGATGGTATAGGTAAGATGTATTGTGACTATTGCTGGAGATGCAGAAGTTCAGGAGGCTCTGTCATGTCATGTCATAAAGTACCTACAGGTCGGCTGTGAACTTAACATATCAGCATGATGTAGTTGGTAGATTAGTTTAAATGCATCTCTGGATTCAGCCTCTTTATAATAATCTAAATAAGGCATGGTAATATCAGCAGAGTACATACAGTCATAAAGCCCTAAGCTTTATGAAGCAACATTCCGCCCATCTAGGCCAACAAATTAAAGCCATAGAACTGAGCAAAATAATTAAAAGTGACTAGCTTATTTACAAAGAATTATGAATTACATTAGTGTTTTCGGTATTATTTCAGAATTATCAAGAAGCAATTCAATGAAGTGAGGGAATCTATCTTTATTTTCATATGATACTATTTTTGTATTTTTGTACTATTGTCAACAAGCATATGATTATTTTTTGAAATTAAATATATTTTGTGCTTTATAATTAGTGTTGGATTTTATTATTCTGAACCTTGTTCTCAGCAAAACAGTTAATGAATCTATGTTCATGTAATAATCCTTCAATATCGGAAATATCATTTTCAGCAGATTTCAAATTATGGACAAACGAAATCCTCGTCACATTCCTTATTCCAGGAGCATTCTTGGCATTTTTTTATAATTCCTCCAGATCTCCAGGCAAGTAGGCGGTGCTGCCATCTGACAAACGACAACGGTGTTGCCATCGTTTAACGTGCAGCTCCCACTTTTCAGTCTTATGTGTTTTGTGAACACTTACGAATATTTGGTGGAAGCGCAGGGCAGCCGGCTACAGGCGATAAAAGTGAAGCAGCCGTGTCAGGGCGCAGTTCATGGGAGGCGTAAAATTCTGATTTAATATTTGGGGAGGGCACAATTTCTCAGGGATCACAAAACTCTGAAGCCGGCCCTGTGGATAAGCTCGTATACCCTATTTTATGAGTATCCATCAGGGTACAATGATTATCTAGGAATATCTAAAAATTCGCTATATCGGTACAGGACACATAATTCTGACGGATTAATTTTGTACTTGCTAACAGCTCTTTTATTTAAAAAAGTTTATTTGCATACATGTTTTACTAGATTTACACCCGATTCATTATTGCCAACGTCGCAGACTAACACAAAAATGTCACTTGCTGATCAGCTGTGCACCTCAGTAAGACGCCAAAGCGTAATGGATACTTGTGAAATATGGTATATTTTAGGCGGTTATAAATAGTAACCTAACATCCTTGTTATGCTAGTGTTAAATTCTTGGGTAGATGGGAAAATTACAAGTTACAAGAAATGAGAGAAACGTCCGTCTGGTATTGCAATGAGAAAGTTTTAATCAATGGATCCAGATTCCTTAAATGATAGCACTAACCACCCGCAAATAGCCGAACCGTCGGTTACGAGTGACAACTCAATTCACATTAAATTTAGTCATGTGTCGTTCGCGAACGAGTCGTTCAAAATTAACGACTCATATAAGTGAGCGATGATTGAACTCTTTTGTTACGTATGACTCGTTCAATTGTGCAAAGCGTGTCTGCAGCATGCAGCAACTGAGCTGCGAACTGACAACGTAGTAACAGCATACAATCACTGTCTAGAGAAACCGGTTACTTTGTTTTGAGATCTCTCATTAAATTGTACATTGAAATGATGAGATTTGAGAGCAAAAATTGCATTTTGATCCAAAATTCGGTAATTCCTCAAAACCGGACCACATATCCATACTTTTTTTTTGGAAGACTACAGTATTCATGCGTTACATTCATTTTCAACCAATAATATGAATACTTAAATAAATACAATAACATCGGCAACCCTTCATTTCATTTTCATAGTATGATGTATATTCTCTGACTCAATGAGTTGTTACTTATAGGCAACACAATACTCTCGACAGTAATAGTATCGTTCAAATGAACTACTCCGAATGTACAACTCAAACCGCTACCACACGATGTGGCGAATGCATTACTCTTACAACGTTGAACACATGGCCATTCGCCACATCGTGTGGGAGAACGCTGACGGATCGCACGTGTTCAACGTTCGCCACATGGCACGTTCTGGCTCTTGTCGGTAAATTTGACCCGCGTCAAAGGACGTTAGAACGTTGGAAGCATGGTTCGTTACGCTTCCACAAGAGATGTCATGTGCTGTGTTTGGTGGATTTAGGTTAGAATCAGTAGCGGCGAAAAACATTATGTACTTGTTTGCTGTGATTGTGGTAAAGTATTTTGATTTGAATAGCTACCCATTCATAATGTATGTTCCGTAACTAACGTTTGAGGAGAATGAATTAAATTAGTATACGAACATACAAAGCATAGGCCCCCGTAACAACACTTTTTTCATGTTGCTAATATTTTGGACGTTTCGCAGGAGAGTTATGGCTGGCCTAAGTATATGTAGTTTAGTAAATTATAAGTTATCAAATGCTTACAACTGTTTGATTATAATGTCCTGTTGCAATGCAAGACTAGTTGAGAAATATATTGACTTGCATTTTATAACTATCGAAAAATATTAAATAAATGATCACTCTGAAAGTAGGTACTATCAGGTTTTTTATGAAATTTGGACCCTAGGTTACTTCTATGAAAATGACGAAAAATCTCTGCAGTTTTTGAAAATCGTTTCAGTGGCGGCGGAACTATCGTCGAAAAACAAATAAAAAACGGTCAAACTTTG